GGCGGCTACAAGGCCAGCAGTGGTTGGGTGTCAGCGACTGAATACACCGCCGCGCAGGCAGGTTGGGGGAGGACCCCCACTTGGGATGCGACCAGGAATTGCTGCGGTACGGCCACAAGCCCGGCAACCCAGGAACCGCTGACCAACAATGGCGGCTGCTCTGTCAATTACGACAGCACCGACCCGGCCGGGGTTTCTGTTACAGTAGCGGAGAATGAGTGCTTGGATCCGATGGCCTTCTTGTCAGAGACGAGGTCGAAAATGATCTGGTCCTCCGACTTGGAGCGGGACAACAAGCTCCTGTTCCGCATCACCGTGCCTGCCAATGCATCGACGGTGGTACAGTGCCCTACGTGCAGTGCACCAACGGTGGATCCAAGCACACAGCGAGTGCGCAAGGAGTTGCGAACGCTGAGCGCAGCAGACTGGAAGAAGGTGGCAGATGCCATGTGGGTCATGAAGAACACCACGCAGACGGCCGGTGTGGAAACATATGGCCAAGCATTCCGCACCTATGACTACTTCCCGACCAAACATGCTGCGGCGTATTCTGATGTGCGGGGCGACCAGGCTCACTTCGGCCCTCAGTTCATGACTTGGCACAGCGCCTTCGTCTTGGAATTCGAGAATGCGCTTCTGAGCGTGGACAGCACGATTGGTACGTTGCCATACTGGGACTCAACAGTGACCTCTCCGTCCATCTTCTCGGAGACCTACTTCGGAAGTGCTCCTGGCACAGGGTCCGACTCTCAAGTTGTCGACGGTGCCTTCCCGAACTGGTGGATCAAGGCGGGCTTTTCCTTGTCAGACTACAACCCAACCGGCAGCTCTCCATACACTGGCTCGCCCGTCGGAATGTTGAGGGGGCCCACCAACAACAACGCAAATGCCATGATGACACGCTTCGGCTCGGGCAGTTATTCCTACGACGCAAACGAGTTCTGGATCTGCGCGAACTTGGACGGGTTTTGGTATGACTGGTACAAGTGCGTCGAGGGGGATGCGACTGTCAGCGGGAGCCTCCACGGAGGACCACATGGGCAGGTGGGCAGCAGCTCAGGCGGCAACAGCGGTGACTTCGAGGACCCGGTCACATCGCCGAATGATCCCCTCTTCATGTTTCATCATGCAAACGTGGACCGCAGCATGCGTTGGTGGATGCTGAAGAATGCAGCCAAGCGCAGCACCTTCTATGGCTTTCCTGCAGCTAACGCTGAAGGCATTCGCGAGAATAGCGGGAAGAGCTATTACGGGCAGAACCTCCCCGACGTGATGTCAAGCACGTGGGGTTTCACCGCTGCCGACCTTGGCTTCTCCAATGCCTCCGCCGGGTTCCAGACCAACGCGGACTTGCTTTGCCACAACGGTCCCTCCACGAGTGCGTACACCTATGACACGGAGGTGGCCTGCTCTGGAGGAAGTGCAGCCTGCTCGGCGGTTTGGGGCGATACCACAACGACGCAGGCCGGGACGACAGACGGCACGACAGACGGGACGACACAGGCCGGGGGTCAAGCTAGCGACACCGCTAGCACGGGCCACCGACGGCACGTAGAAGCCACGGTGTTGATGTCAGGCATCCTTGTGGCCTTGGCCGCCAACTCATGAATCACTCAACTGTCAAAAAAACTGTAATGAATCACTCGCTCTACAAAGTATTTTTAAAAGTCGGTGAGGTGGGGAGACGCTGCTTTGGTACGTATTTCACCTCCTCGGCTTTTCTGCTTCCTTGGCTCGGCGAGCAACGAAGTTGCGTCACCCGATCGGATTTCCCCCAAGCAGCTGGTCCATATCCAGTATTGGGAGGCTTAATGGGAGGCCTGTGCCTCAGTTCCATTTGTCGGCGATGGTCGGCGAATCTCTTTGGCGTGCAGGATCCTGCGAAGAAAAGCCTGCCACTGCAGACCGCTCCTGACTGACGCAGCTTGATTTCCTGCCATTTCATCGGCTTCGGCCGTGCAAAAGTGGTACTCGTCTGAGGCCTTCCTGCTCTGCAATGCTCCCGGCCGCTCGACCGCTGCAAGCGCAGCTGTAGCAAGACGTGTAAAAGAGCTCCCCTACAATTAGCCCGGTCGACATCAGTTGATTTCTGTTCATGTGCCTGGGCTTTGCTGTGCTCTGCTGTTGCCATTCTTGCGTCCATCCCAAATTCACTGCTGTTCGCAGTGCCGCTGGGCTCGAAGCACTGCCTGTGGAAGGGGTAGAACCGCTAGCTCTGAAGCATGTCACAGGCAACAGTGCAAGCTCCTCCTGGCTTGGAGGCACCATTCAAGAAGACTGCCTCCAGCATAGCGTGCATCGTTGCACAGCATGTATCTGGACAGGGACAGAGCCACCAGGCTCTGGACATCGATGTGGTCAAGGCTTGCATGCAGTCTAAGTTTGTCTCAGAGACAGAAGTATACCTACCGCGCCCACTGGTCAGGAACTGCGAGAAAGCATAGTGAAGGAGGCTGCAATGCGCACAGGGCAAAGTCTGGTCCTGCTCCGCGTTCATGGAAGGTGACAGAGAGGGTGACAGAAACGTGCATGCGTCACCTAGAGTCGACGACGCAGGCCACCGCACCACCCTCAGATCAGTGAGTAGACACTGGCGATGCCCGAAATGATCTCCAGCAAGGTCGATGCGCTCTACAAGAGGGGCCAGAAAGCTGTAACGTGTGCTCATCAGATGTGAATACGGGGTGGATGCTCTTCTGCTTGCTGACCGGCGACGTGAGACATAGCAGGGCCGTGCGTGGGATGGGGAGGTACATGCAGCAACAGCAGAGCCTCAACACTGAGCAACTGCAGAGCTTGGGACTCGTATCTCTGGATCGAGCTAGAAGCTGCAATCGTCGTGAGAAGCAGAGCCGTGGAGGTGAGATCCAAAGGTGTGCCGAGTGGCAGCCTCAGAGTTCGAAATTGCAGATGAGCAGCCTGACGGCTCTTGCTTGATTGCCTGAACTAAGGTCTTGTCGAAGGCTAGAAGGTGGGTCGCTTCTGCTGGGCCAAGATGTGTGCCACACGTCAGTTCTCGTGGACAAATGGTCGAGTCGAGGCGAGAATGCGGTGCTTAGAGCCAATTTGGAGGCGTGGAGTCTCGGAGTTGATTGCTCGCCCACTGCTTACGAGTTCCGTAGATGTGCCTGAACGGGTCGGTTGCAAGATGAGTGGATTGCATTTTGCGAAGCCGACACTGTTGATCGCAGAATTGCCGATTGGAATGAACGACTTGGCTTGGAAGATGTTTTCTGTCTTGAATATACCAGCCCTCAAAACTAGCAAGCACTTCGCCAAAATGCAGGCCCTGATGAGACACCTGACCGTTCTGTTCGGAGCTCCGCCGTTATTCGCTTTGAGGGTCTGCGTGATTGCATTCGCAGCCTACTTCTGGTCGAACTTGACCTTATCATGGGTGCAATTGGCCACTTCTGAGGCTGAGGCCTTCTGCCCCATCAACTTCAGAGCCCGCCGTCACGCAGGCGCCCCCTGATGTCAACTAGACTACAATCACCTGCCGATCACCGTCGCGCAGGCACTTGATGAACTGGAAACAGCATCGGTGCCTGTGCCGGGATCATAGCTGCAAAGCACAAGCTGTACAGCAACCTTGATCAAGCTTCAGACGGCTCGCGGCAGCTGGTCGGGTGGTGCTTTCGTTTCACCTGCGACCTCTCCTTTCGTGTCAGCCAATTTTTTCCGACATGCGAGACTGTCGTTTCTTCTCTTTTTCTGGCCGGGGTGTGGCCTTTTTGTCCTATGGTGACGTTGCAGCAGAAGTTGTTGTTTTTTTTTTCGGTGCTGGCGGTTCGATTTTTCTTCGCAACACACGCATCGGAGCGGAAGAGCACGAAGTCTAACAGGATCGTTTCTGGAACGGAAGCATCCTGGCACTGGATCATCCTGCCACTGCAAGGGTAGTGACCGCTGCAAGCGGTTGCACATTCCAGCACAATCAGTTCCGCAAAACCCCCCTTTGCAACAAAGATCGCTAAAGGCTGAAGCATGCACTGTAGAGTGGGCGCTTTCCACCCGAATTGTTCGCAGACTTCCAGGCACCGCGATCCGGACACGGACGAGGTCCAAGCAGACTGAAGGTCGACCGATCTGTTGTGCGAAAAACGTTGCTCAGGTGGCTGATGTTGCTGCAGGATCCGGGGAGAGCGGCCCTGACCCTGGCAGTGCATGCGTTGCGAGCATGTGAGGATAGGCGAGCTGCAGCTCGAGCGACGCATGACTTTTCCCGAGGCAGCCCGGCTTCGACGCAAGCGGAGACTCCGTCGGAGACGCCTGGCGCTTCCGAGGCTTGCTGCCAACTGCAGATGCACGACTTGCGGGGTGGAAGACCTGCGACGATGGCGAGGTTTTCACCCTGACACTACGAAGAGCTGACACCGTTCCCGTTGGACTCCATGTCACAGGCACGGAACGAAGCAGCACAGTCCTGGGCGAATTCCCAGGGCACAGACTTGGCGTTTGCAGGCGAGGACGGCCTTCTCGTGGAACGAGTGCTGCCAGGGGGAGCCGTCGAGGCGCCGAAGCCTGGAGTCCCCTCCTTCGGGGAGTCCGGGGGTCTCTTTCTTGGAGCCGAATGGAGCCGAGAGAGCGCGCAGGCCTGGAACCGACAGTGCCCCGGCGTTCGTGAGATCCGCGTCGGTGACCGTGGGCCTGCCGGTGCTTGATCTCCTCGTGCCGACTTAGGAGTTTGAGAGTTGGAGGGACTGAACCACTGCAAAGCTGTGAGCTCTTTGGAATCGCCCCGCACAAGGACAATGCTCTCGTGCCAATGTTTACTATGTACTAGGTGAAGGGTTGGAAGCGGAAAGGGCACGGGCATGCATGCGTGGCGGCTGCACCACGGAGGTCCTCAGATTCATCGACGTAGGGTCTTTGCAGACAAATTTTCATGCAACAGACGATTGAATTGAATTGAATCGAGCGAACACGACAACAGCCCGTAGAGAATCTAGTGGACAGTGGAGCTTTGCAAGTGGCCCGGCATCCTAGCACAGCATCTTGTCTTGGACTCCCTGCGATCTCAGCATGTTGGAGCTGTGCATAAATAGTTTCTGCCATCACACCTTGACGGTGCCAGGCATCGTCAGCATCAATGGCCAAGACGACGCTGAGGCTATGCGGACGGAGTGCCTTTCAAAGTACCTCCTCAGGATGACAGCCTGGGGCTCGGCGCTCGTTCACTCTGTCTTTCCGTCGCCGTCGCCTTCCTTGGCCCGCCGTTGGCCCTGGCAATCTGCCTGCCGGTCGCGTCGCGTTCGCGAGGTGCAGCGCGGCAGCGGCCTCCGAGCAGAGGCAGACGAGTTTGTCCCGCAGGCTCGAAGCGGCTCGAAGCGAGTCTCGCGGGGCTGCTATTCTTCCGCAGGCCTGAGGCTGTGCCACGGCCATGCAGGGCTTGGGTCTTCGCAACCCGTATAGACGAGGCGCCGATCTGCCACTGCAACAGGCAACTTCTTGCTGAATGCTGAAAGGTCTCTCACCACTTGAAGTGAAAGGGGCCTCCGTGATTTCAGATTTCAGATAGTGCAGGCAAATTCGGGTCAGGTCCTGCAGGGGAGATGCAGGCCATCCGCGCTGGCAGAGGCATCTGTTTGACGAGACATGAGGTTTGAACACAGAGACCATCCTGTCGAGATCCGGCCAGTGCTACCGAGACTTGCTAGTCAATCGAGAGGGGGCGCGCTGTGGACAAAAGCTATCGGCCATAGGCGATGCCAGCACGTCAGTGTGTCATCAAGCTGCAGGACTTGTCACACCCGCCGTGGACCTTAAGTTGCGAATTCGAAGTTTTTCTGCAACAGAACCAATGCCGCGCACATGCCTATTAGATCCTAGCAGCATCAGTCGCTAGATTCGCTAGATAGAGTCGATATCGACGATGCAGCCGGAACGTTTTCATACAAGTAGCGGAGTGTCGTTCCTGCCATGTGGTGCCGAGATGGCAACAGCGTGGCTGCAGAAACGTCTCGCGGCTCTGGAGTCTTTTCAAGAGGGCGAGGCGAGGCAGCAAAAGCTTTGCAACCCTTCGTTTCGGCTGCGCTTGGCTTCCAGTCGGCAGGACGTGCTGGAGCCAACCCTGAAGAGCCCAAAGAGAGAGGACCCTTACTGTGGCTACGAGGTGCTTGGGATATTGTTTTCGGGGTGCCCTAACCTGCAGTGGCTTGTGCCAGGTTGCAGACACTCTCCGCGAATTCGTTTCCAAGGGCCTGCTGACAGACATTGACCTGTCCGGCACTACCCCTGAAGAGGAAATCGGTGATGACCTCAGCGTCGCAGAAGCAGCATGAAGTTCAATGTGATTGCTGAAGTGAAACAGCTCCACCTTTCCGCTGACCCGGCAAGCAAGTGCTGTGAACCTCCCTGGTGCTGAGGAGATGTGGGTGTAGCAAATTTAACCACCGTATTGCTGGGCAAGGCCCAGCACATCCAAGGGTCCGAGGGACAGCCATGTCGTTGAGAGCAGGTGGCCAACTTGACAAGGTCGGAGACTTACTTGACTTGTGCATGCTTTAGCACGGATTGCCAGAAGCCGCAATGCACGCTACTTGCACGCCCAAGTTTTAAGCGATTTGCGTTCGTTTGATGCTATGCATGAATGTGGGCGTGCTTGTCCTCAATCATCCCGCTGCATAAAGCTTTTTTTGACAGGAATCTTTGACATCACATGTATACTGCCACCGGACTGATGCGATCGGCCCGTCCACCTTTTGACACAGCTGGGTTGGGGACAGGTGAATAGGACCACAGGGGAAGGTCGGTCCGATCTGTGAGCTCCAGGCTGTCCCTACGACGGGTCGGGCTGGGTGCTGCAGGCTTCCGCGAGGCGAGAACTGTCGCTGGCATCTGCGGGGTTCGCTCACAAGCGGCTGGAGGTTGGGCGCTTGTTACGGCAATGCCCGACCCTGGAGGCAGCTCGCAAGACTCAAAGCATGCCTCTAGAACAACCTTCGACCTCTGATTGAACACAGTCCGTAGTGCATTCCAGGTGTTGGATCTGAGTTGCAGAAGCCTCAGATGACTTCTGTCCGCTTTCAAATTCCGCAAGTGTGTCTGCCTTCATGTCTTGACCTTGCCGAGACAACACCGCTGGCGTAGATGGCCTTCGCGGCAATTTTTGCGAAGCGCTGGACGATGCCAGGCCATGGGCTTCAGATGGCTTCAGTCGCAAAAGGGGAAGACCCAGTCTCTGTCTCACTGAGGTGCTTGAAGGTGCTGGAGTTGCGAGGTTGTGGACTTCGAGACCAGGGGTCTGGCACCCTACCTGCTGCAGGTGTACGGCGAAAGGGTATATAATAGGAACCATTCAGATATGCCGAGGCTGGAGCCTTTGTGCGATGTGAAGACCGGGCATGATTGGGGGCGTCTCTGGGCACGTGCTGTGCGAGAGACCCCAGCGACGGCCCCGCGTTCTTCTTGGCAGGCTGGAGCGCTTCGACGAGGCCTTGAGGCCCTCTTGTGTTTCTGAATCTAAAGGCGTCTTGCTCTCCCGTGAGCCATGAGGCCTGTAGTGTCCGTCCAGCAGCTCAGCCTCAGCACGAGCTCCAACTGCAAGAGAAGAGCCTATGGGCGAAGAAAGCAAAGCCAGAGCCCGAAGCCGAGGAATCATCTGACGGCGGCTGCAGCAAGGCCAGGCTCTCGGCTCGCGAAAGCTTCGAAGAGCCACCCCGGACGCGCGCGCGCGCCTTTCTCCAAGGCGCATGGCGAGGATGCTTGCGACCAACTTGAAGCTGGAGGCGTTCGGAGGAGCTGTGTAGGCTGCGGTGTCCTGCTCTTTTCTCCAGGAGTTGGACATCTCTGACAACGAGCTGAGAGAGGACGTGATCAAGAATCCTCGAAGGTGACAGCGATTGAGTTGGCCAGGAAGGCGGTGAGCACCTTGCCGGTGGCTTGAATGCCAACAAGGCGAGGCTACAAGAGCTGGGAACAGCGGCTTCGAAAGACTGCGGCGGCTGCGTCCTCGCACAGGGGCGTTTGCAGAGACTAAACATCTCTCACAACCTTCTCAGAGTCAGCGTCCCAGGAAGACAGCCTTAGACGTTAGGGCGCCTTCAAACGTTGAAGACTGGCTGATTTGAGGTGGCCGGCGCACGTCCACTCCTGGAGAGGTTCATGACGTTCCCGTGCAGCAAAATGGGCAGCAAAAGGATTCGTTAGCAGCTACAGCTCGCACCTAGGGAGAAACATGCCTTCGAAACTTCCGCCTAGGACAGATTCCAGGCTGCGCATGCAAATCAGGAGGCATCGGAAAACGGCTGGTGTATGATATCGTATGGCAGCTTATGGCAGTTACTGTAAAGTCGAGTGACGGAGGCTTCCTGGCACGAAGCATGGCTTTGTCTTGGACGGGATGGTGGTTTCGAGCTCAGCTGTCTCCCTTTCGGCAGTTCGAAGGTGACTTGGGAGCTGCTCGTCTCAGGTCACTGGACTGGAGTTCATGGCCGCGCCCCCAGCGCCACAGCATGCCACGGCCTCTCGATGACATGCTGCTGCAGGGTTGGGTTGAGCAGCACAACAACCGGAATCGATCCGAAGCGGTCTTCGCTGGTGACAGGACCGGGACCGGCGGATGGAGTACCACGATCAAGAGAGACAGAAGTTTCGGTGTGCTCCTGGGATGTGCTCCGGCCTGGCCATGTGGGAGAAACCAGAGCCAGCGTCTGGACTTTACCCCTCTGAGGGTAGTCAATTGACAGTGGCATTGGGGACGCAAGCTGCAGACCACGGTAGCCATGGAGGATCGGGCTAGTTGTTTCTAAACTTGCAGAGCGAGATTGAAAGATAGAGAGAAGCAAGCGCTCAAGCCTGGTGAAAGAAAGAAGCAGTAGGAACGAGACGAGTCTTCGGGGAAGACATCTGCTGACCAAATTTGTACAATGCTTCACCAGTCGGAGCAGAAGGATTTGGAGCTCCAGACTCTGTCCGCAGACAGGCAGAAGCAGATGCTTGCCCCTTGAGCCGTTCGGAAATAGTGCAACATGATGCTCAAAGGGTTCCAGCCGTTGCTGGGGCAGATGATGCTGCTTGTCAGAATGTGCAGTGAAGATATGTGTCGGGCTTGAGACACAATGTGTGGCAAACTGCATCCCACTAGTGGCTTGAGAAGTTACTTTGCTGCATGTAGGGGATTGATCTACCGTGTGATCGCAATGTAGCCGGTGTAGTCAACATAGTGTACAGCGAGTGCCGCCGCTATATATGGCTGCCAGCAGTCAAAGGTCACATGCGATTCAGAGCCTTTGCATTTCAGCAGCCCCCTTGCGAGCAAAAGACACAAAGGATCTGAAGGAGATGTTCATCGGGAGGGAGAGTTACTTAGAAGTAAACTCAGTGACAACCTCGACATAGAACTGGAAAGGCGGACCGGCCAAGTGCTTCGGAAGAGATGATGACACTATGATACCACGGGAAATGAACCAGCAGGCCATCGCAGGAAACGTGGTCGAACAGCAAGGTGCTACAGGGTGCCTCCAGTCCAAAGAGATTACGTAGCGTCACGATGCAGCATGTTCGGGGACAGATTTATGCCCCAAGAGAAGGAAGCAAAGCAACAGCAAAGGCGGCGAACAGGGCGCAGAGAGTGCCCGGAAAAGCAGAGCCGGGGACAGGGGTGTTGAACAAGCCTCAGGGGGCAATGTCCTGGGGTGCCAATGGTGCTGCAAACATGCCCCGACGGCGACAGGACGTAATAGTTCGTGGCGGGAGTCGAGTGGAAGGGGAAGGGGGGATGCAGGCTCCAAACATGCCCGAATTTCTCCATGCTAAACTGCATGCATCGTCGCGGCAGTTTAAGCGTCCCTCTTTCTGCATTGTACAGCATCGGAAAGCTTGTGCGAGGATTGTTGAGGTGAGTGGCAAGACCACGCCAGAGGACATGCTTCTCGAGCTGACTGTGGGAGAGGCCCCGAATTTTGGAGATACGGTTCGAGGAGGGAAGCTCCTCGGTCTTCGTCGCTCTTCGGTCAGGTGCTCGACGTGACGCTTCTTCGGGACGGAGTCTGTCCTCCTCTCAGCGAGATTTTGATGCGTTCACGCTTGCTCGGAGCACAAGCATGTGCTCCCGGAGGCATGAAGCATCTTGACATCTGTTACAATCTCCTGGGCAAGAAGGGGACTCAGGACCAGCACTCGCTGGCACGGCCCCTGACATCGCGCCTGCAGTTATGCATCTATACGCATCATGCAGCATCGATGCGGTCATAGAGTAGCTGCTCTACTGCAGCATTAATCTGCACAGGAGCTACATACCCTGGCCGGAATCACCCGTCAGGCACTACTGCCAATCTTGGATGTTAGCAGATCTAGCTGCTTAGGTCGGGCTCGAGATGTCCATGTCAGCCTGCGTGCATCAGTCCTGCAGGGCAACATGATTGGGAACCAGCTCCGATTTGATGGCGGCACGAGGTGCATCATTGCACTGCGACTGGACCCACGAGTCTGTGTGGCTTGCGTACAGGATCACATTACTCAATGCGTACTGATCCCGCAATCGACCCTGGCGTTGCGAAGCAAGTGCCGGGGAGATGAGTAGTGCATGGTACTCCGAAGGAAAAGAGGAGTAGTGCATCCAAGACAGTCCATCGCAATTACTCAGGACCTGCAGCACCATGCGTCTGAGCATTCCATGCGTCGCTCTGGCCCGAAATCCGCTTGAAGGGGTGCCGACACGGTGCACCAACATCCGGAAGGCCGCGATGCTGAGTCGACCCCTGTCCTTGGAGCTGTGTGTGCCGATTTCTTCAGGTGGTGGCAGCAATGGCACCACCGCATCGAACGCCGCTGCTGGTCTGCCCGGCGAGCTTTCGCTGCTTTGAATTGAACCTTGCGCAGTTCTTGGTGAACGTCCAGGTTGTAGCCTGCGCGGCTTTGCTTGCTGCCTATGTCCTATCCGAAGCTTTTGCTGTGACTACCTCGCCTAAGGCCGGAAGCCGGTCATAGTGCGAGACAAACATGATTGCGCCCGTGGAAGAGTTGAGCAGGCTCTCTCTCCTCCAAGGCTTTCCGCACAGGCCGCCCGGTGACACCAGAAGCTTGTCTTACGCCGCTGGAGCTCATGGCTGAGGCGGTTGGCGCAGGACTGCCAGCCCAGCATTCTTCAGAAGGCCCAGAACTCAGAACTAGGTAACTAGACCTTGGCAGCGCCGTGTCGGCTAAAAAAAACAAGGTTATGGCGCTGTTGGTGGGGCCATGTGCGGTGCAGCATGATCCCCAGCTGTGGGTCACGGTGCATCTGCAAGGTTTCATCACATCGTTTGCCAGGTAGCGGCTTTGCTAGCGGCCGGTGGCCTCGCAGTCCGCAGCCAACGCAAGAGCCGGTCGCTTCAGTGCCATTGCCTTACCGAGACATGTAAGGGAAGCAGCGCGTCTGCTGCTGTCTGTGTTTTTATTCCCAGAGTCGTATTGGATCTGTCAACTCCGAGCTCCTGCTTCTGCTGCTACCTCGTCAAGCAGCAGAACCATAACACCGAGTGGGTGGCTTTGCCGGTTTGGGATTCATGGTTATCTGGGCAATTCTGGGCAGAGAAGTGGGCCGGCGAATCAGGCGAATCAAGCAGTAGGCCATAGGCCCTCTGTCGAGATATGTCAAGTTTTGGCTATGACTGAAAACCTCTTCTGTCGTACAGGGCGTGAGCGTATGTTGCACTCCTCTTTCGAAGTGTCTCTTGGAGTCTTGAAGATGGATTCCCCGGTCCCTTTCACATTGGCTGCCTGCCATGCTGAAAGCCTTGCTTCTTTTCCAGGATTGATGGTTTCCAACCGTTTTGGCTGATGTCTTTTTGACCTAGCAGGTTCTGTTCCGGGGTATTACGTGCCTTTTGCATGCCCCTCGCGCTCACTACACCCACTCGCTGACTTCGAAAACACCGGCCTGTGCGTGGTTGTCGCCTTATTGCACAGGTTCCGCTCCACGTGTCCGAGGTTTATGTCTCATTTCCGCTTTGTGTGTTTGTTGCGCCAAAACGGACGTTGTTTTGGTCGTACAGTTTTGCTTGCGACACAATGTTTTCGCCTATCTTGCGTCTTGCACAATTTGCACTGTTTCGTCTTTCCTGTTTTCGGTGGTGTGTTCCGCTTGCTTGGGGGGGGGGGGGGTCGGCATGCTTGCTAAATTTCCTGGGCTGCGACAATTCCACTCCCGTGTTTGCTGTCACATGCAGGGGTGCATGCAGGTTGCTCTCAACGTCTGACATGCCTCGATCACAGGATCACAACCGCAAGCATTCGTGGTACCTGAACAAACCAAACCAGCTGCGACCTGGGCGAGGGTTCATTGTATGCACCGGCCATATCGGCCATATCAAGTCACACAACATAAATCACACACACACACAGACAACGCATCATCGCAATAGTAATCGCAGCACAGCAGCAGTAGATGATATAGAAGTAAGTAGCATTGCGATCCACACAACACACACATAGCATACACCATCCTAATACCAATCACAGCAGCAGTAGCGAGACTAAAGGCGGAACAGGACATAGTCATTGTCAGCATCATCACTACGCACGAAACATCAGAACAAGTACAAACCCTGAAAAACCCGACCCCACAACCACCCCCAGAACCATGCAGGGCTTTTGAAGCATTCAGCTCGTCTACACGAGGAGGATGAAGAGCATCAGCGGGAGAAGCTAGCAGTATCAGCACCAGTGGTTTGAGTGGCAGGACTGGTGTGGGAGTTGGAATGTGAATACAACAGCAACGACAGCAGAATCTGAAGGAGGACTAGGATGAAAGAAATGCCAAGGAAAGGCAATTTCTCTGCGCACCTTACCATATCAACCGAGACGAGATGAACACGCTCGGAAGGGTGTTCTGCAGGCTTCCGTTGTGTCGTGCTTGAAGGATGTGCAATACTGGACGTTTCCCGACCAGGTTTCCATGTTGTCAATTCTGGCAGCAAAACAAAGCCTTTTGCTTTGCTGTGGTGCGCTGTGACACTAAGGCAATGCATTCTCGAGCAGCAGCAGTAAGCGTCCAAGTAAAATGCGGAGTGTTCAGCTGGCACAGACATATGGTCCCATGCCATGCAGGTGGCTTCATGGGAACGCCGTGTGCATCTTCTTACGTTTGGAACCACCAGGACACGCTATGACCCGTTGAAGCAAGCCTGACTTGTCCTATCGCACAAGAGCACCAGATCAGTCCATGCATGTTCGGTCATCGGCAGCTCCCTGGTGCAGTGCAGGCAGCTCCTCAGCCCCAGCAGCCAGTGCAGGCTCAGTCAGGCCAAGACTGAAGGGTAGGGTTGAAGGGTTGTGTTGACAGCTTCTTTTCGGGAAGTGATGCTCTGGTGAGGTGTGGCAAGCATGGGCATGAAGGCGCGACCTGCAAGGAATCCTTCCCGCGAGGGGCATGTCTAAGTTCTTGCATCAGGCCCAAGTTTGGTGGATCCGGAACAATGGCTACGATGGCCCCGCAAAGGGTGGTGCCAAGCTGTGGGACAGTAGGCGGCGGGAGTCCAGGCGTGGCCACCGAAGCGATCTCAAACTTCTTGCGGTCTTCGAAAGTTTCTTTAGGTGGGTAAAGCATTTCATTTCGTCAGGCGCCGCGGTGAGGAGCTCTTCCGCAGTAGCCTGAGGATCGTTGTAGCCTCGTAGCTTTTCATGGACTGTCGTCCTGGATGAGCACAGCCTGGACCGAGGGCACGACGTTGACAATTTCGAGTTGTGCGTTCACAACCTCCTCGCTGCTCCGGGCAGCAACAAGCGAAGGACTCTTGCTTTATCCACTTTACCCTGTGGCCCACACTCCGCATCCAATCATCAAGCTTCGAGGATTCAGCGTGGTCGTGGCAAGTACGGTCATCACGGCCGAACCTGCGGTGAGGGCCTGATGCTGTTTTGGCGCTTCAGGCTGTATCGCGGTGCTGTGCATCAGGTTATGGATCAACGAAGAACGGGGCTGCCAAGCGCGGACGTCGTACGCTGAACCCCGGCTACGAGGTGGGCTTGCATGGATCCACGTGTCAGATGTCTCTGGCGGTGAGTTCGGAGATCGCGTCAGGGCAACCAGAAGCCGCTGCACCTGAAGACTCCCAAGCTCACGAAAGACGTGCCCTTCTGCAGTGGCATGTAGGTTGCAGAGACAAATCTCTTTGCCTTAGTCGGTGCTGAACAGCTAGAAGCCTTGTGCAGCAACGCGACTCCATGAAGCAAGACCCCTACACGCCGATTACGTTTTGGGTGCTGGCCCCAGACTCACAGCCGAGCGGCACTGCATCTGTGTTTGTAATGGGCTCGCATCTCAAAGCCACGATGCACTCCTGTAGGGAGGTTCGTTGTCCATCGCCATTCCGGTATTCTATGAAGTTCACCGCGGTGTCACAGTCTTCGCATGCACGGGAGATACGGGAGCCAGCATTACTTCCAGCCGGCCGTAGGCTCGTATAGCTGAAGTTTATGCTGCTTGTGTTCTTGTGGACGTTTTTGCAGGCCCAAGATTTGTCCGATGAAACACGGCATCGCGCCTTTCCATCCTCCCCACGAGTCTAACACCCCACTTCTCCATGTAAAAAAAAGGTGGTAGTAACCTGGTAGTACCAAAGTAGGCCGAATGGGTCCTCCGTCCAGCTAAAGGCACCCGGCCTGCCAGCTTCAAGGTTCCTTTGATCATGCTCCATCGCAGCCCCTTTGCGTGGAGCCCTCTGCAAAGGCCCAATCCAGTTCCATTGGTCGCGACTCCAAATTTGCAGGCTTATTCGCAAACCTCGTGCCACTATCACAAGCAGGACCTCAACGGAAGGCGACTTGAAGCTGCGGCTTTCGCAGGACTTTCTGGAGCCTTCTGGCGATTTCGCCTGAGGGTCAAGGGCAGGCCGGGCAGGCCGGGCAAGCAGGCATCAAGGATACGCTGCAGGTCAGAGTTTGAGAAAGACGCGGAGCAGTACACGCAGCTGGTCGACTGGCTCCGTGAACGGGGAGCCTATGTTAACCAGGCAGTCGGTCTGGTCGAGCGAGACATATTGGAAGACGGAGGCTCACGAGCAGAGCGCGGCTGCGCAGCCACGCAAGATATACGAGCAGGAGAGTTGTTGCTTGAAATTCCACTGAGCTGCTGTCTGTCTTCGGTGCCGGGATGCTATGACGACATCTTGTCAACTCTGGAGCCAGCATTGGAACGAGGGGGAATCGCGAAGGCCGATGTGGAACTGGCCCTGGCCGTGGCAGTCGAGCGTCAGCAAGGAGAAGCATCGCCTTGGTGGACATATTTGAGGATGCTCGACTGTAGCCACACCTTTCCACTTTTCTACGACAAAGCAGATCTCGAAGCTTTGGAGAACATCCCCCTGACAGAATCACTGGAGGTGACCTCCCAAGTCATCTCGCAGATTGCAGAAGCCAGCGGCCTGCACGATACAGAGTTTCGAGAAGCAATGCAGCTGGTGATGGGTCGGCGCTTTGGGGCCGAAACATCCAGAGCCATGATGCCGATCGGTGACCTTTTAAACCATCGGTTTTATCCAAGTTGCGAGTGGGAGACGCCCACTCCTGACACTCCGTGCTGGCGATTAAAATCGAAAATGGACCTCTCTCCCGGTGATTCCTTGAATCACCTCTACTGTGAGGACCCGAACCATCTGCTGTTGCAGCAGTCTGGCTTCATCATGAACGAGAACCCTCACAACAGGATCATGGCCAGACCAGTGGACCTGCGAAATGCTCTCTACTCCGTCTGCAATTCCAGCAGCCCGGAGGACTGTTCTGCAGAGCACCCTTCGCATTGACCCGGGTGGTTGAGGTCCTAGTTGTCCTAGTTTTGGTCCCTCCAGATGGTGCCCCTCTTTGATGCGCCGACCGCAGGACTTTGCTAGTTTTCGCAAGGACCAGGTTGAGAAGGAGTTGCCAGATCCAGATGAAGAGGGGGTCGGGCTCAGCATGTTTCTTGAAACTCGCTGGCAAGATTCACAGCTGAGAGACTTTCTGTAGTCCATGCCTCGTGCGCATGCCCTTATACTAGGCCTTGCCTGAATCGGACATCTGTTAGGTTGGAAGAAGGCCGGGAGGTCTACAGTGGAACCCGCTCTGGCTTGACATGATAGGCGCGAGCCTGTGATTGCTACGAGCTGCTCGGGTGCTCCGGAAGCTGCATTGTCAGGTTTAGCAGTCACGGAGAGCCCAGATGCACCGCATTGGGGAACCAGTCCTGAAGGCATCGGGTACCGGCCCAGTAGTTTCCGCATGTCGACATGCGCATCTCATCGTTCGTCCAGTGTATCCAGTGTCGCTGTTCACATGCTGCGCAAGGCATGGAGAAGTACTTGCATGCTCTGGAGACTGCTTCGTGGTCACTGTTTCCAACCTCTCTTGAAGAGGACACGGATGACGGTAAATCTATTTCATCCAACCTGGAAATGGCGACAGCGCTGCGAAGGGGATACAAGGAACTTCTACGTGATGCTATCGATTCTTTGCGGGTGCGGCTGTCAGGTGGAGGCTGATTGGACCGAGAGGGCAGCAGTTGAAAGCGCAGCGTTGGACGACGAGCTCTGTGCAGAAAGACCCGAGGGCAGTTCTGCTAATCCAGCGTGCGAATCTTGCCAAACTGATGCGTGAAAGAAAGCGCATGTTGCCAAGGTACTGAACATGTGCGAAGATGGTGACGAGGCCAGTATATGAGGTAATAGAGGAGTCGTGGTTGTATTCGGAACACAGCCCTGGCTCAGGTTGACTACATGGACTTGTTCATGCGAGGACTGCCGGTCCCGTCGCGAAAAAAATTTGACAGAGCTCGGCCCCGAGGTTTATCTGAGTTAGGCGGTGACTGTTAGAACCTCTGGTCAAAAAGGTGAAGATCAAAGCAAATGAAACCGACGTGCCTTGGACAACGGTTGGACTGATCTTCAATGGCACTGGTGGATATTCGGGTCCTGCCAAGGAGCTGACCGTGAAGAATCTCACAGCGGGACACTGAGTTTCGTTGCGACAGACCGTCCTTCAACTGGAGTGTCACTGCTTGCCACTGCAGACCTCGTTCACAGAGCGTTGCTTGTGCACCGTCCTCGTGAGCTTGAGAACCTTCGGTTGAAGCAGGTTTTCGCTCATGCCTTCGAGCCAGCTGCTCGTGAGAAGATCGAAGAGAATGGCGGCAGGTACTTTGACTGCAAGTATCCATCTGTATAGTGGTGCTTCGAGTCGTCTCCACTTTTCGGGAGTGCATAACATGCTCGTTGCCGGGGCGGGGGAGGGGTAACATGTCACAGTGGGCGGAAGCCCCCGCAGCTGGACCTACTCGTAGTCTCCGTGTCGCCGGAGGTGCATTCGCTTGTCAGACGTGGGCAGCTTGCCGATCGACGCCAAGTGGATGAGCACAAACGAGTTCAAGGTTTGCTCATGGGCCGGGAGGAAATGTGGACAGGTCAAAGCGGCTTCAGACTGGGGCTGGCTGCAAATGCTTTGTGTAGGTGGGCGCCGGAGACGATTCCAAGGAGGAGGCCGAGGGAGAGGAGGCACCAGCTGAGGACCGGATGGGTCATGGGCGCCTCTGCAACGTTCCTGCGTTCGAATACTTCTCGTACCCAATCTGTCGCGCGAGGAGTGATCCGCGCAAGGAATGCAGCCCACAGAAAACAAAACAACTTGCTGCACTGTTTGCATGTCGGCTGACTCGCAAATTACTTGTATTGTGCTGCTTGTGATGTTTTGCCTCATTGCGGTTGCCTCTTCAAGCTTGGTGGAGAAGCACCCTTTGGTACAAGTAGGAGGTCCACTGTCCACAGTCGTTCTGCATGGCGGCTCGCGCAGCTTGATTTCATCTCGGCGCAGATGGTCCCAGCAAGTCAACTCACCAGTAACATGCATTAACACGCCAGTAGAGACGGTAACAGTTTCCGGAGCACTAGCACAGAGCTATGACCCGCGGCCCTGGAGCTCCACCACCTGGCTGGCGGCCAACGGTGAAAGGTGGCTTGTTGCACCAAGTCTAGCTTAGACAGGTCAAGTCCAAGAAACTTCCCAGGCCGGAACAGCAAGGCCGACGTGTGCCTTGGATGCGGAGGATCGCGGAGGTGTGCAGTTGCTTCGAGTCGGCTTGTCATTTGCATGTGCCAGAGCTCACAGACCTGAGGTTTGCCACTGATGCGGCCTAAGCCATGTTGCAGCACCCCTTCTACAAGTCCCATTCCCTGGACAGTAAGGCCGCCACCGGTGGCAGCCTCGTCCTTCCCGACGGCCGCAAGCTCAATGGCAGTTTCCATTTTGGCGGTGTTTTCTTTGTTGTTTTGTTTCTTTGACAGATGCTCTCGCCCATCGGATTGTCCGAGGCGGTGCTCCAGTGAGCGGAAGCCGCTTCCGTGTCGAGCCAGGACCGTCAGGGAGCTGAAGCATGGCATCTAAGTTAAGTCTTAGGTCTTAAGCCAACCGCCGGCGTTGAAGCACCTAGTGACACGCTCTGCGCTTCGGCGCAGTCTCAGGAGCCAGCGGGCTGCCGGAGTTACAAGCAAAGCCCGGGGCCGGGCAAGATGCTAAGAGTGCAGCACATTGCAGCACCTTCGCCTCTCGTCCAGTGCCTATGCCTGATTCTGGATGCTAGTTCAGGACGGCAAAAGTTCCTGACAGGCTCGGGCATTCGTGTAAGCCTCCTCCAATGTCTTCGTAGAGCAGCTGCAGGGGTCGTTTACACCGATGCAGGAACACCTCGTCAGAACCATATCCTCCATCAAACATTCTGTCTGGGCCTAAACTGCTCATACAAGCTGAGTTCCATGAGTATTGCCCTGCCTCAACAGGGACAAGCTCCTCGATGGAACGCAGATGCAGCTTGACTCAGCAGACTACGGGCGTAAGCCTCGGACTGCTTATGCAATGGCCGTGAGGCCGTGCTAGAATCAAGTGATACCAAGCGAGACGCGCGCGACGGACGTTCAATCTCCTTGCTGCAAGGCGAATCTCTGCAGTTCCAGGCCGGGAAAGCCGAGTTGTGCTGATGCTTGCATCATGCACTGCGCATCCGATATCATCCTTTCCAGGAGTACGCCCGGCACATCGCGGGAGTCAGCCTGAGCCTGCGGTGGGGCACCGGGCTCTTCGAGACGCCTTCGGAATTGCACCCGCAAGTGTTGCAAAGTTCGCAGTTCAGGTGAATGTTGGAGGCCCAGGGCCCAGATTTCCGCGATGCCGTCGGCTTTCACTCCAGTCCCGCGGTCCGCATGGCCAAGGACAGGTGCAACCCAACCGAACGACAGCCTCTCAGAGGCTCGGAGCTCTGAGACATCTTTCTGCTTCTTGTTACTGTTGCTTGCTTGAAACGGTGCTTTCGTGCTGATAAGATGGAGGCCCGAATGGGACAGCCTTTTCGACGACCTTGACGATGGGGAGCGAAAGGTGCATATTGCATATTGTGTGTGTGTGTGTGCAAAAAAGCCTGTTCCAGTGTTGAGTTGTGTGACGCAGTGGTGAATCTGTCTGCATCAGTCAATACAAGTTTCGGCACCAGTCATACAGGACCCGGCTGCAGAGGCAGGACATGCGGCGGACGTCGTTTCAGTTCCGCGCCTTTTCGTTTCTCGTGCAGGGGGATCCCGCGTCGGAGAGCTGGAGGCAAAGAGCACGCTGCGAATTAGACTTCTGTCATTGCGGGATTCGTGTGACCTGTCAAGGGCTGGCAGCACGGTCGGTGCATCACTGAGACATGCTGTGACATACCGCTGTGAGCATAAAGCAGCGACGCCCCAACGCATGCTTAGCATCACTTAGCTCCAGGCCCCGACTGGGACCATTTGTACAAGAGGCGACACGGCACCAGAGACTTGGCAGTTTTTGGTTCTGCGCATCCGAGATGTTGGTGTTGAGGCTCCCGGCAGTTCCTCGGCAGCAGCGGGGGAAGGGGCCCTCGCATTGTGGCGCTGGGTTGCGCAATGCTTTCCAGCCGCCAGGCTCGCGATGGAGGAGAGAAGAGGCACAAGTGCATGATGCCTGGACGTTTTGTTACTTTTATTGCTGCCTCAGGGCCGACGATGATGCTCTTGACTACGCAGCACTGTTCAGTGGAGCGTCGGGGGCCTGGAACATTCGCGAAGGTTCAGATCAAGGCATGTCAGTGAGGGTCAGGATGTCACGATGCATCCAGGACAGATCCCGACGACGATGATTTGCCAGATTTGGCCTCCGTCTCGGTGTCCCATGTGTGTGTGTGTACGGTCCTCGACATGTCCTCGACTCTCCATTTGCCGTGCAATCACTGTGCATTAGGGCGTCAGCTAGTGTCAGTACCGAACAATCCAATTTCAGCAGGGGCGTGCAGCACCTTTGGCATACTGCACGCAACGAAGCTACTGCCAGGTGGGAAGGGATCAGGGACGCTTGATCCTGTACCTGCAACAACGTTTGTGACATCCTACTCTTACAAGCTGTACATGGTGCCATCTTGTGACAGAATCTTGTGATATCCTCGCTGTACAAACATAGTCATCGTCTCTGCAGCCAGCCCGCAACAGCCTCAGATCTGCAAGCCATAGGACAACATGTTTGTGCCAGTGATCCGCAGCCTGAAGCAATTTTCATGCACCGTTACGGAATCTGAGCTGTTTCCTGAATACAGCCATCCAACAACACAGCATCTCACCTAGGATTTCGGGGTAGCTAAATCCAACCGAGAATGCACCCAACACTTTATCAGTGTGTGTCTGTGTGACATTCTGGGCAAAGGAAAGATGGAAGGCAGGGGGAGGCCATAGTTCTGCTGCCAACGAAGACAGCTGTGAATAGTACTTGCGATTTGAAATGAGCAGGCCATCCCGAAATTGCCCTCAAAAGAGCTGTTGCTTTGCAGTGGCCGGAAGTGAATTCGATCAGGTTCAGGACGCGAGTCCGGGGTGCATGAGATGAGCATTGAAGGAAGGGAAAGGTAGACAGCTTGCTAACCCATGTGATAGCTCCGGCTATCTCGAGGGTCGATTCAAGCGTGTGATTCCGGTTTTGTCATAGTGCCCGTCGTGAAGCTCCAGGATGAGCGCAACGTTTCAACACAATACGATCTCCCTACAGTACTGAATACTGCAAGAATGTCGGGACAGTGTCTACGCTTGCATACAATGCCACGACATACAACTGCTTCTACCGAATGGATAAGGGTGGCTTGCCTGGCCTGCGAAGATCTCAGACCTCGAACAGCGGCATGTGAGGGCTGCGGCTTTGACCTGCGAAGCACCATACCTGCCAAGAATCCAAGAGCAGCAGACAGATGCAGACAGGCAGTGCAAGGTGCAGAAGCTGGGCTTATGAACTCGTATGTACACAGCTGCGTTGAACGCTGTCTGTAGGTCGGGAAGGTCGTAGATCAAAACAATTTTCCTCGGATGCTGTCCGTTGTTTTTCCACACTTGTTCGTCAACTGATTCCAATGGTCGTCCAGTTCTGGTCTCACATGGGCGAACGAAATATAAACGGCAGGGGGGCAGCAACGGCTCCACAGTTCTGCTGCCAACGAAGACAATGCAGATACTCCGCGAAGCAAAACTAGACACCATTACAATGAGAAGGCCACCCCAAATTGCCCTCAACACAGAGCTGTTGTTTCGCAGTGGCCGAGGAAGTGAATTCCATCAGATTCGGGACCCGAGTGATGCGTTCGGTGCAGCTTGAAAAGTCACATGAGACAAGCATTGATGGAAAGGACATAAAACTGCTTTGTGTTGGGCAGGCATGGGTGAGCAGTCTTCATTGCAAGCTGACCTTGAAACCACATATGTGACATTTTGGCTCAAGGTTGAACCAAAACGGCTTAGAGTTTTTCTTTCCCGTCCACCCACCCTGAAGTACGGGCTCCCGTGGAGTTACCTTACTTCTTGGAGGCCTCGTAGGGGTTGGGGTTGCACATGTTATGTGACCGTAACCCTCATCCAGGATGGATGGGTATTCATGCCCGAGAATCGGGCTCGGGTCAGCTGGGTGACAGCTAGCCCGGGGTTACGATCTATCCGGTGAGACCGGATAGATTCCCAAAGCAATTCCTCGAGAAGAGGTTGTGCGAGGGTCGACTCAAACGTGTGCGAGTGCGTGTGTGTGTGTGTGTGCACTTCGCTAGTTCATGCGATCAGGAGTTCACAACTCATTTTTCTTGCAGGGGGACGGAGGGGTTGCAGGGGAGCTCCGTCCAACGAAGCTCTCCCCTGCAACCCAGGAAAACGTACCTGCATCGCATGCGCCTGGGCCCCGTTGTGGGCAGCTGGCGGGGCACTCACCTTCGTTCACGTTCATCTCATTCCGTGCTACGTCATTCCTTTGTCTGACGTAGCAAGGGGCAGAAACCTGACCCCTGACGGATCATCTCATTTCGTTTTGCATGCAACTCTTGATGTCTGGCATGCTTGGCACAAAACTTCCATCTCATAAGTGCCTTGAGCTTGCGTGCCTTGTTGCACTTTCGTTATCATCACCATTACCAACACCACCGTATTTCATCTTGTGTAACCCTCTCTCGAGAGACTCCATCCAGGAGTGCAGACAACACTATCTCAGTGTGGATGTGGGAGAGTGTGTGAGCGTGTGTGTGTATGGGTGTATGAGAGTGCGTGAGCGTGTGTGCGTGTGCGTGTGTCTGTGTGTGGGTGGGTGGCATCTCACTTTTTGCGACCGTGCTGCTAGAGGTTCCCACAGACACTCGGGCCTCTGCCTTGCTCTCGTGGTGACGCATCGCATGCGCATCAATCCTGTTGATGGGGCCCACATGTGAGGCTGAGAAGGCTAACCCTGCAAGCGAGCGAGGCGGCAGGTGGCCAAGTCGTGCCTGAGTGAGCTCAGCAGTGCAATTCCCGCCATCCTTGAACGTGAGTAAACCAGTGCAGGTTTCTAGTGACTGGCAGTTTAATGGTAGCAGATGATCCGTAGACAAACAGGCTTATCCGTTCAAGTTCACCTTACTGTCATTGCATGTATACTCGAAGTCAGCAGTCCGGTACCATGAAGGCATGCATGCCACCCAGATTTAGGTGCGCCGTCCGTGTCGTCTCCTCGCGAGGTCCATGCTTGCAATGGGTTGCCCATCGCAACCGTCCAATCACGACAAGCGTTGCGCAAGGGGTCAGACTGCATGTCCTGCAGGATGCAAGGGGTACCGCGGGCAACAACTCGAAGGTACCGGATGTGTGGGACGTCAAGGCAGAACCGGCCTTGAGTCGCTGTGCTACGCGCTGTGAAGGAGCTCGAGCACGAGGAAGAGGTCAACGTCGCACAGCGCCGCCTTATCTTCGTGCGAGCCTCAGACATCACCAAAACATCGCGGAACTGTCATTGACGGTCAGGATTTGGACTCCAGCCTGGTGGATCTTGCATCCCGTCGGCAAAGCAGTCACATGTCAGAAGTGTCACACGCGATGTAATCTTCATCGGTTTGTGGGAGACAAGGCATGCCATTGGCAGAAGGACTGTGCAAGCCCACTCCAGCGAGCTGCCATGAGAAACATGGAACGCTCCAGTATGGTATCCTGGGTCACTTCAACCTCTCCGGCCATGCTGACGAGGGAGTCCCTCCCCCCAGACAATTGTATGCATGGCAGGGTAGAGTCCACACATGGCTGACAGGTGGAAGCATGGGGCGAGAAGTTGATGCCCAAGGGCACGCTGTCACTGGTACCTTGCTCAGCTTGTCTTGACCACAATTCTGGAGCTGTTCCATGCTCCACGGATGAAAAGATTGAGGCCGACTTCCGATCTCATGGTGTCGAGCTGGATCTTAGCGACACGCACGTCATGAGCTTGGTCAGAAGGCGATTGAGTGGGCAAACCCAAGCTCTCCTCCAGTTTAGGCTGTCTCGTCTGGTTTCCAAGAGCTGGAGGAGTTTGCCGCCCGGCAAATTTAGGCTTCCATCGTCCATTGCAGGCTAGAGGGCGATGGGATTTGACTGGCTTTCTTTTCAAGTCCTCTTCATCAATGTGTGGTGCGATGCCTTCACCGACGACTGGCTACCTGAAGCACCCTGTGATATCCTGCGATCGGTCCTGAGCTAAGTCCAGCGCAGTGAAACGTGACGGCACGGCGCGGGATCCAAGCGGGACATCGAGTCCACGCGCTTTCTCGCGAGTGGGAGCCACGGAGGTCACGACCCTGAGACTCTCCCGAGCCAGGATCGGACCCGGCCTTATTGCATACAGGAAGCGGACAGGCATGGACAGGCTTGAAACAGAATCCGTCGAGGTAACTCGGGGGCAAGCTGGATCGCAGGAGGGAGCTGGCACGATCAGTGCGTCCCTGAGATGCTACTTGCCAGGAGCTCTCATGCGGAATTTTACCCTGACGGAGCTGGTGCTGTCGCCCCAGCAACGGCAATATGGCAGGGGTCAATGTGTGCATCAGGCATTGAGAGTGGCTTGACTGTGTTGGGCTGTATTTTCAATCCAGGCTGAGCAGCAATTCCATCTCCGACGAAGGGATCGTGCCTGAACGGCAATGAGAATGAGACAGAAGGTGCAGTCAAACGCATGCCAAGTACGTCCTGTGCAACTGACGATATTGCGCTGTCACTGATCTCCAGTAGTGGCAAGGACCCGCTTGCTGCTGTGCTTGACAGCAACAACACGCTCAAAAAGCTGCACCCTCAGAGATCCATGGCGGAATCACATCTCAGCTGCACCGGAGCCCCCGAGGATCGATCTGTCGGACAACCGGGTGGGCTCGAGGACACTGAGATGCGCAGAGTGTGCAGTCTAGTTGTCTAGTCAGGGTTCTTGAGGCAAATGCAGTGTGTCGGGGCAAGAGCGTGAGCCTTGCAAGGGGTTCGCAGTCGGGTCGTGAGAGAATGCCGCGATTTGGGAGTGGCAAGTCGGTTCCGGGTCCGAGTCTGCCTGGCGAGGGGTGCGCAGCAGCTGGCGTCGGCCAGCTCCAGGCCCGCCCGAGCGGGAGCGGGGGCGCTGGCAGCAGGTTTGTTTTTCGTTGCTCCGTGCCAGGAACCGATCCCTGACATACCTCGACCTCAGTAGGAACAGCATTGGAGACCAGGGTGTCCTGGGCTCTGGTGTTCTTTCTTGCAGCTTCTTCTTTTTTGCTGATCCCTGCCTGTCCGGAGAATCGCCGAAGAAGTATCCAAGGCCGAGGAGTTCCTCTCCGTGTTGGATGTGGCGGTTCGACCGCGGCCGTCAGCCCGGAGCCCAGAAGAGCCCTGCTCCGACAGCATCATTCTGTTGGAAAGCTGTGTTTCGTTGCTGTCGGCGCATCCATCTGAAAAATGTCTCAAGGCTCTACGCATATTGGACTTTGCGGGCAACTCCATCACCAGGCACCACAAGGTGAGTCTCGATGTGGCCATTCCCGGCATACCCCCGCTCACAGGCGCACCGAGGAGCGGCTCCTTTCTGCCTTTCACCGTGGAATCACGGTGCCCTCTGCGCTCTTGTGAATCTTCCGGAATGTTTAGAGTGGTGCGGCTTCGTCCTGCAACAGCATGGAGCAGGTGCTGGAGTCCTTGCACCTGTCTGACTCAGACAGGGCGAAGGCATCCCAGTCCGTCGGCATGCGGGTGCCGTGGAGCCCATTGTTGATGTTTGTGCTCGCTTCGGTATCGGTATTGGAGGTGAACCAGGGCACTGGGACTGCCATCAGACCAGAAGCACAGCAAATCAACTAAAGCTTCAACTACAATTCGACAACGACAGCGACTGCCATGATCACAGTTACAATCGACGACGACGGTGGCTGCAGCGGCACGACTCCGACCGTCAACACCACTGCAGCCACAAAACCCTCGAATCTGCGCCAGCGCCAGAAGGAATAAGGAGAGCAGATAGAATAAGGATAATAAGGAGGCATGTTGACAAAAGAGGAAATCCTGGCCCTTGTATGGGGAAGGCGTTCTTGTCTCCGTCCTACTGGTGCTGGACAGTGACATTTTGCCAGGCTTGCCCTGCTGGTGGTGGTACGACGGGTTGACCTTCGTCGTAGCGTCTTGCCGGTACTGCGGCCACTACGGCTACTAGGGGAGGGTTTAACTCGCATCAATCTTGTTGAGGAAATACGACATCTTTCTGCGTGGACATTGGGGTTAAGCAATCCGGGCCCGGCCTGGCATGCATCCAAACATCAACCGTTGCAGGGTCCTCGCGCGGGCGTGTACAGGCGGATACCGTGCAAACGCTCATAAGGCAATTCGCTAGAAGTCGTCTCGAACCGGCAAGTAAATGGGGATTCCGAGGTAATGCTCGGGAGCCAGTTGTCTACCGACGTGCAAAACCCAACTAGCGCCGGTCGTCACGCATCGAGCGTCTGCGTGGGGATTGTGATGATTCGACCGACGTGTGTCTTGAGCACACATTGGGGAATAGGTTTGGTTACCATGTGCTTTTTGTCTACGTGAGCTGCTGCTGCTGGAATGTTGCAAACCCCTCTTGAAACCCTCCGTGCTCCTGCTTGTGAAGGGCGCGTGTCAAGAGGGATTCCAGTGTTCTGGCATGTTATGATCTACGAAAGGGTTGCAGTTTGCCAGCGCGTGGGCCTGATTTCTGTTGTTTTGAGGCTTCGCCCGAACAGGCTTGCAACACAGCGTGTACTTGGGGATTCCCTAGACAAACAGAATGACTTTTGGGCCCCTGCCGCGACTTCACTTTAGGCAGTGTGAGCAGGCTGCCGCGACATAAGTCTACCCCTTGTAATTCGAAAGCCGCTGTAAGGGGCAGGCTTGCTGAGCTGGCTTGAAACTGCCAGCACTCCTTGAATATTGTTTCCAGTGGCCTTCTGGTTTACATGACTCGATCAACTTGCTGATAGCAGAACAGTGCAGCACATTAGATCCATCCGGCTCCGGATATACCTCGCACTATACCGCCAATGCTGTCACATGCGGTTACCATGGCGGGTCACGTACAAGGATCTGCGCGATGTCGCACGCATGCAGTCCCAGTGCCCTTTGGGAGCCCAACTTCATGTTGCAGTCCTCCTCAGACCTGGGCTCGAGTGGCCGGCTTCTGGAGAGCCCCGCAGGCATCGGCTGCAGACGAGGGCAAACCTCCCCGGTTTACGGTGCGCGGCTCTTTGGTTTGACTGTAGCAACCGCTGGCGAAGTGCAACAAGCACCAAGCCATGCTGGTGTCGTGTGTCAGTGCCGTCTCGTATGCATCGGCAGGTCATTTGCACGCAGCAGGGCATTGAGATCCGCGCTGGCAGAGCTGGGTGCCTGCCCAATCCGTAAAGCGCAACGCTAGAAGCCTGCGAGACAATTCGGATCAATCGGCAGGCCGCGGGCGCAGATCAGCAGGAGCCCTAAAGACCAACCCATGGGAGACGGTTATTGAGCGGAACCCAAGGCTGGGAGCAAGATCAAGGAGACGTTGAGGTGGTCCTCAAGCGGGCCGAGATGAGGAAGTGCGATGCAGCGTGGCTCGCCGACTCTTTCGTCCTTTTTTGGTATATTGATGGCAGTCTTAGTTCCTTCAGGCGCCTATTTCTCTCTCTGGCGCAATGCCATGTCTCTGCTCTGTGCTGTGAGTCGCCCGTTCTTGGCAGGGTGGTGGATGTAGCTTTCGGCTACCGGAGACTGAAAGTCACGGTGCGCCCACTGTGAGCTTAAAAGCCTTGCATTACATTGCAAAGTTTGCTCACTCAAGACGTGGGAGTTGAGGTACGAGCAGAGCTGATTATGGACATTGAGCTCTTCGCGCTACAGACTTTGCAATTTTGAGCGATGTTCAGGGGATAATAGGAGAGTTTAAGAAGCTGTCGCGAACTTCCTCTCAACTCTCAGGCGCATTCGACCAGAGGATTGCGCGTGGACGGTCGGCGACGGTTACCTGCAGATAGTCTTGGCCAAGGCAGAGTCTCCAATGTAGCGCCGTAGTACCCTGTCATATCCGCGCTACTCTTGCTGTCGACCTTTCATTTCGGTTCTGGCATTGGTGCCACTTAGGGGCGCAGGGCTCTCGGTGCGCGGCCGATGGCAATCCCGCCCCTGTGTTCGATGTTGTTCAATGTTGCAGAAGAAGGTCGCCAATTTCGGTGCTCACTTCATTCACATGACATCTCGAATTTACACATGGCCAAGGTGAGCTTCCTCTGTAGTCAGTATTCAGCCATTCTGTTGTACTATGTGGGTGCGTCCGAGAAGACACTCAAATTTCCGGCATCTTTGAGCTACGTGACATCTCGAGGTCTTCCCAGGCACTTGTGCCTGGGCTTTTGGTTGGCGGGCTGGTTTTGTTTCTTGCGAGTTCTCAGTGCTCGCAGAGAGGCAGGACTTGGCATCTTCACTGTGCTGATGCTGTTCACCGCAGGCGTCACTGCTTGGTTTAACCGCCCCCACCAGCCAGTCTGGCACGATCGCATCCACATGGCTGCTGCGTCTCTCTATGTTCTCTGCCACATTGTCTTGATGGATGTCCTCGCGATGAGCTCAATGTACAGAGCAGGCTTCTATGCTTCGATGGTCATAGCAGCAGCATCCCTGCACTGGAGCAGGAGAATAAAGACAGAAGCAGGGGTGCCAGTGAAGCATTCCTCAAGCGCGGAAGAGTTTCGTGACCTCTTCGCGCAGCTGAGCAGTAGGCACAGCGCCCAGCTTTGGTGCGCCGAACTCTTTTTTATGCTCTTTGAAAATTTGATTTTTACCTCCTTCGTTTTGGGCCTGACTTCCGGTCTGGATACCCGTGACTGCGCAAGCGAGTAGACCAGAAATCGGTTCTTGGAGATGCATTGGAGTAAATCGGAGTAACTGACATTAGCACCACTTCGATTGTGAAGGAAAGACTGGACGCAGATAGCGATGCACAGCTGTCTTGCATTGGTTGCCTTGCAGGCCGAAATTGGGCGCTGGCAGTCGCTGACGGCGTGAGGGCGACTTGAAAGTTGAGCCGAGGGGCACTTGCTTCCGATGCTTCTTCATGCATGTTCGTCTAAAGAATGCAACATTCTGCAAGTTGCGTGTGGTGCGCTATGGTCCGCTCCATGCCATACATGGCAGTGACATTTGGGCCCAAGCACGATATGGCCTGGCACCTGAATCCACGAGCCTGGCTACAGGACTGAAGGGAAGCAGTTCGCAAAGATGGGCAATTCAAGCAGCAGCTGGCAATCAACTAGACAACCAAACATGAGTCGACTTCAGGTGTGTTAAGGCTGTTAAGGTCACCCTGCATCCCAAGCCAGTCTAGATCTTCACGCTGCCTTGGAAGGACTGAGATCTTCAACACGATGCTGCGTGGCTGAAATGTTGCATGGTCGAGTGCAATGGTGCACGAATTGCGGACACTGCGCCCTACACGCAAAACTCCAGAGCGCCATTGGTTGCTTATGAAAGCTTGCAAGGCCAATCTAAGCCAGTTCGCTGGCACCCTTCTGAGGTTCGACTTCATCTTTCCCGAACCGCAGGTGCGCTGCTGTGCGTCGATCACAAATTGCCTTCAGTGAGCCCGTCAATGCATTTGGCCGTTGATAGATGCTGTATGTATCTGTCTCATATATCTAAGTATCTAAGCTTACAGAAGTCTCGTCTAACAATTACTGAAAAACAGTAAATACATGAACGAGACTACATTTTCTGGATTATTTGGCATCGGTAGCAACATCATCCCATACTCTCTATATACAAATGTACAGGTACACATATGTATGTGCATATACTGTATATGTCAATGCATGTACGTAGCCGCATACGTACGTACGTACGTGCGTAGGTATGTATCTGTATCTACGTATGTATGTATGTTTGTATGTATGTATGTGTGTATATATGTATATGTATATGTATATGTATATGTATATGTATATGTATATGTATATGTATATGTATATATATGTATATGTACATGTATACGTATACGTCTAAGTATACGTATGTGTATGTGTATGTATATGCATGCATATGTATGTGTGTATATGTATATTTAATATAAACATAAGAGTAAGAAAGAAAGTAAGTATGAATGTGTTTATATATATATATAAGCAGGTGTGTACGTCTGTATGTATGTATGTATGTATGTATGTATGTGTGTACGTATGTATGTATGTATGTATGTATGTATGTATGTATGTATGTATGTATGCATCTATGCATATTTTAATGTTATGCATATGTACTTACGTTTGCATTGTTAAGTACCTAAGTATCTCTGTCTGTCTGTCTGTCTGTCTGTCTGTCTGTCTGTCTCTATTACCTATGCAAAGCAATAATTACGCACACCCGCACAACGAAATGACGCATGCTGGGGGACGTAGTACTAGGATGTTTATGCGCACATAAATCGTTTTACATATCGATCAATGTATGCATCTGTGTTATTCATATCCGACAAAGTCTGTTCCCCAAGAGTTTTTTGCAGGGACCCTTGTTTGAGTGAAAGGAATACAGATGTTTCGCCCTGTTGGTGGGAGGCCAATGCCGGAGTTGTCGAAGCTTTTCTCCTCTTGTCTCCCTTCATGTGGGACCTTTTTGGCGTCTTTGGTGGTGTAGTTTTTGCATTTGTCAATCTGGTCATGTGAAAGGCCATGTGTGTGTGTGTGTGCGTGGAAACATGTTGCTTTTTTCCCTTCATTCACGCTCTTGCGAGGGCATGCAGCCGCAGATGCTGTTCTGGATTTTCATAACATATGGGTGCCACCCTGAGTTTTAGCAGCTCTCCGACATGTGTCAAAGTGTTCGCAGTGAGATTGACTGCAGGTACATCCTATTCACCGCAGCCAACATGCTCAGCGACGGCTCCGAGCTCCTACTTTTTATCCCACAGGTGCACGGCTAGTCTAGAATTTTCGTGAGATGCACACTGTGTGCCCGGTGACCTGTGGGAAGTGTGCGAGCACTTAAAAGCCTGGATGCACAGGTGGCCGGCCTTGTCGGTAGTGTTGTTTTGCCAGTGCTGGGCGCTGTGCCAGATGGCATGATGCTCCTCATTTGCGTTGAGCTTCGTGCTGCCCGCGTGGCGTGACACTGACAGCGTGTGCGCTAACTTCAAGCCGAGGGTGCTCTTTTCTGGCATCGGTCCCACAGAAGTGGCACAGGAAAATGTCGACCACTCGGAGGTTCTTAGACCCCTTGTAAGGAGCTGCGAGCTGTCTCATTGAGGTGGCGGTTGGTGTCGGTGCTTTGGCAGGCCGGCAGATTTGGAGGCCAGAAGGTGCTTTCTCTTGGAGAGTCTCGGCAGGTAGCACCATCATGCTCCTCACAGTGCCCTGGTTCCTGGCACGCCCGGGAAATTACGGCTTGGGAATGAAGCGAATTTGGCAGATCTCTCCATGCCAGGGGGTCCTCGGTGGCCGTGTTGACATGGAGGGTGGGAAATGTCAATACGGCGAGGAGAAGAAGCTCACCAAGGTGCCATGGTGACCTGTTTCTGCTTGACTTGTACCTGCTGCCTGCATATAGTGAGCGGTCAGGGTGGCCTCATGAACACCTTCTTTCATACCGGCATCCGTTCTGCTCACAGTGCGTGCCAGCACACCAGAGCTGATGATGCAGATCGCCCTGAGGTTACAAACCGGAGATACGAGCAAACTGCAAGATCATGATCTTCACGGCACTGACGTGCGCGAGTTGCCTACAATTGGTGTTTTCAATGTGGCATCACTAGCTCGCAAACATATCATCGACCAGCACCAGCACCAACAGAACCGCAGCTGGTGTGAACTGCAGGTACTTGATTATCCAACTTCCTGCCTGGTTCATCGACACGCAAAAGCCTGCCCTCACTGCGAAGGCGCATGATGCGACATGCTCCCAGGAGAAAGGCAGAGCGATGAATCTGGTTGATTTTACCAAAAAAAACACGGAGTGTAAACAGTACATTCTGCCGGGAAAATGGAACCGTTAAGTGTTGCGGTCATCTTGGTAATCTTGGTAGTCTTGCTTTTCTGGCTTTTTGTTAGAAGGGGGGGGTCCGTTTGGTCATCTTGGTAATCTTGCCCCACTTGGCGAGGGCAAGATGACCTGGACATCTGGCTCCACCCTCCCAAGTGGACCAAGATTACCAAGATACGAAGCCGCCCCCCCCCCCCCCCCCCTGGACAAAGGCACAAAGCAAGATGACCAAGATGACCGATCATCTTGCCCCCTCAGCGCTTCCATTTTTCCGGCACACTGAAAGGGGAGGTACACCGTAAGCACGGCGGTGGGTGATTGAACTACAGGACAAGCTGGGTTTGTCAGGATACAGTGCACTGCACAGCGGAAAGCCGTGTTTGAGACCCAAGGCCTAGCTAAGGGCTATTAAATTAGGAGGGTCTCCACGAGCATGTACGATATGTTTGTGTGTTCGGACATCATCGTGCCAACTGTGTGGAGGGCAAGACCTGCAGAGGAGCCCGCAGGAAGAACGAGAGCAACGCAAAAGCGCAATGCACGTAATGCCCCGGCTTGCACTATGGTCATGACAGAGGGCGGACGACGAGAAGGTTTGAGAGGACTACGGAGGACTGCGGGAGTTGGTGAAGGTTTGGCTCGAAAACGTCAAGAAAAGAGAAACTGAAAACTTAAGGCTTAAAAGGCTTGATTGAATGGCTTAAAGGAAAGTCGACAAAAGACCTCGGATCGGGATCCGGGCTCCAAGCACCAAGCAGCTCCGGCTCGATGTCCTCGGTGAAGTCAGGGCTCGTTTCAAGCTTTGAGGCGATGGACGCAGGGGCTCCAGGAAGTGGCCGCTGGGCTCCGTAGGTTGAGAGATCTGGGGACAAGTCTCAGACTCAACAGGCACCGGCGCATTAAAAGCTAGCCAGTGCAATCCGGAAGCTAAGACAGTGCCGCGGAATACAGGCCCGTGTTTTTCGAGCGAAAGTTAAAGGAGAAGGGCACGTGTAAGCCCAGCCAAGGTATGAGCATAGTTTCAGTCCCTGCGCACGCATGATTTGTAGAGAGGACTGTCAGTGATGCATCGGTTTGATGTTCCTGCTCAGGCCATCGCCAAAGAAAACAGTCAGGAGTCTGTGCGGCACTGAGTTGATGCTCGCCTGCTTCCGGTGGCAAGCTGAGCAGTCGGCACAAAGCTGCTTCATGCTGCTTCGGAATTCCACACCAAGAAAGGTGTGCCCAGAACAAGGTTTATGCCACAACGGCAGTGCAAAACCCGAGCCATCCGTCAACAGCCATGGTCAAGGCCGATCTTTAAGAGACCACGCTGAGGCCTGGGCACTGATCGGCATGGTGTTCTGCATACTCGAATTTTCTATGTGCTCCCGGCTTTGACGTGTGCCGCAGCATCTGCAGCATGTGGAGTTAGGGACGCTGCCAGGTATCTGTACATGCAGTATGTGGCGGGTCTCCCTGAGCAGCATCTTCCCCATTCAGTTTCAAGTGCGGAAATGCTGCGGGCGCCCTCCCTGCAAATGAGCCTCACTCATGTCCCGTACCGCAGCGCGGCAGACTTCAGGCAAAGTTCGACAGTTGCCTCGCATGGGCGCGGGATAAGATGTCCGGGGCGGGCGTCGCACCGCTGGTCTCCCAGTAATCCTCGGACCGCATGTCTGGATGGCCTTCACAGACTGGGACTTGCACAGGGCAAAGGCCAGAAGCTATGTGGCGGCCATCATGAGGGCTCAGGAGTCGGAAGCCTGTGCCTGCGCTGCCTGCGCCGTGTCCTTCCTCCTAAAGCCGTTTTCAATCTACTAAGACTAATAAGGCTCGGAGTCAAAGCATGGATGGAAGAGTTCCGAAGAGATGCTTGGCTGATATAGGAGTTATCCCATCCCAGTTGTCTGCACATCATGTGTCCGTTTGGAACTGGCACCGAAGGACTGGAAGCTGACGGAACAAAGCGAGGCCGCTGCAGACTCGAAAGCTCCTGCTTTGCTGCTTAAGCCGTAGGACCGGCGTTTTGATCATGACATGTCGTTCATGATGTTCCTTCTGCGCTGGAATAATATCTGCCGTGGGGCTAGGGCTTGTCAGAGTTCATCACTCGGATTCGCGTCATGCCACATGCCCCGGTTAATTCTGCTATTTCTGCGAGAAAAACAAAGCGTTGCTCGACAAAGTCACCTTTCCGAAAGATTTCAGAGAGACGTGCCGTGGTTGCAAAGAAGATACAGCAAGCCGATGATGCATCCCCGCTCTGAAAGTGGCATAGGCTTCACATTGACCAAGGCTGGCAATGTGGTTTCGAAAGTGCACTCCTCATTGTCTTTGCATATAGAAGCTCGCAGCATGCCGCTTAGCATGCTGCATAATGCAACGACGAGCTCAGCAGGTACGCCAGCGCCTCTGATCACGATGGACTGAGAATGACAGAGATGGACACGCCGGGGCTGGCTCAATTGCAACAAGCAGCTGCATACCAGTAGGAAAGAAGTGATGCATGCCAGCATGGTGCAGGATTTTAATAACCTCCTGCGGGCTCTCCACTTGCATGGCCGCTGGTCTGCCCTAAGCCGGTCAAAAGGTAGCCGGAGTGTTCTGTCTTGGTGGCGAGCTGCCACGCGGAAGTCTCAGGTTACAATGCCACGGAGCTTTTCACGCAGGTGGGGACGCAGAGAAATAAGCAACTGAAACACTGACTTGTCTTCATGATACGGGGTCCGGTTTGGCCTTCCCTGTACACTTGAGGTGGACGCAAACAACGACGGCAGCTTGGATTAGCGCTGGCCGTTGCTGATCTCGATGATATCTGTCTTCATGCGCATGGAAGCTCACGACTCACGGGCTCATAGTCGAAGGCATTTCAACGGCATCATGCAGGGCACAGGAAATTCTATGACAGGCTAGCTCAAGACGTCGATCGGCACATATTGGCACGGACTTCCTCGTTGATACAGGATCTCTGTTTTCACCGATTCATGAGTCCTCCTCTTGGTGCAGGGCTTCCGGCACCCAAAGTTAGAGGACCATGAAGGACTTTTCACTCCTGTTTGTTTGGAGTCTTTGCTCGAATTCACTCGATTGGTTGCCTCACGGGGTGTTAACCAAATCAAAGGAAGAGGTCGTCAATAGCCGCTTCCGCCATCCTCACCGGCCGATTTCGCGACCACACTCCCTGACACCCCTCCAGAATTCACAAGCAAGACTTCAGCTCGCCAGTTACCGTATTCGATGCTGTTTAGCACCAGAGCTGCCCCTGCCCGCCACAAGGCAGCATTGACTCAGATGAATTTACAGCTGCATGGCTGCACCAAGCATTCGCTGTGGTGGAATCCTGTAGCCATGCATTGCTGCCCGTGATGCCTTGCCGGCACTTGCCGTAGCTGCTCTCAGGAATGCTTCAAGCATCTGGCCTCGCTGCCACCGAAAGCACCTGCACGCGGCTAAGATACTCAGGTGCAGCACTGAGGATGATCAGCTCACGGATGCACTCATCGAGGCTCAGCCTAGAAAATCTCGGGCTACAATTGCCACAGCAGCGGCAAGCTCAGGGCCATGCTTTGCACTCCCCTGTGTTGCGGTACCGGTCGTAGTATTCGTGCATCCACCTTCTCTTCAATCTCGGTCATGCAATGAGTCATGCGAGCAGCATAGCATATCTATTTCGACCAGGAGGGAGTCACCCTGCCAGAAGCACCTGCAGCGGCCGATGATGATGACGACGACGAGGCGAATATGAAGAACTTAAAGAAAAAAGATGTAGATACAGGTTCTGTCGATGTTTGTCCCACAGCTGCGGCCACATGAAGGACGAGGAGGAAGAATCCATGCCCGAGGTGCCTTGAGCAATGTGTTGATACCCGTGGAGGGCGTCGGAAGCAGTACTTGTGAACATGTCTTGGAAGGAGTTCAAGGACCTTTCTGTGCAAGAGCAGAGGTAACACGGCAGCACCTGTGACTGAGCCGTTCGGTGATAACTTGCACGATCTTCTCTGTGCTATATTGATATCGCAAGTTGGCAATGTCTCAAGCGACATGCAGGGGCAGTTCAGGATGCAGCTGCCGGTCTAGTAGAATCGAGGCCCTACAAGTACCAAAAACGTGATTTCTGGCGCAATAGGGCGCTCAGTTTTACATATGACGACCGACTCCCAAGCGATTGGGGCCCCTCAACAGCCAGCACTGAAACGTTGCGGGAAACCGGCTGTGACACAGCCATGGCAAACGCTCTTTGTAGACAACGGTATGCCCAGAGACTTTCGAAAGTGACGATGGCAGCTCTTCGACTTTATTGCTCCGGCCAAACCACAGTCTATCTGTCTGTCTTCATGTCTGTCTGCCTCTCTCTGCTCCCTCTCTCTCCCGGTCTCTCTGCTTCTGCCTTCGGCTGCGAAGGTACATGTGCATTATGTGCACGGGTGAGTGGCCATCCGGGATTTGTGGTGGGTCTGTCTGTGTCATCAGACACCACAAAGTGCGCGTGAGTGTTTGTTGTGTGTTTGTGTTACCTGCTGTGCATGCGAAAAGCCTTGCATTTGACCGTCGGCATTCATGTTTGTTAGACATCTGATTGCTGACATGACTCTCTCGAAACCACAATGTGCAGATTGCGGCAACTGTTCACAACAGCGAGAGACGACGACTACACTCGCTCACAGTCTCAAACAATTTATGGGCATCAAAAGAACCTAGAAGAACACCGGGGGCTGGCACGGCCGTGCATTTACTTTTGGCAGGAACGTTTTCCTGGTCAACTCAAGTGGAGCCTGTCACTTGATCGATCCCGTTGCACGTAAAAACAATCTCATCAATCCAATCTAATAGAATCGACCAAGCAACGATACGATTTCGAAGAGCGAGGTCGACCATCAACTGTTACAGAACTGAGGTGTGATGTTATATGATCGGCCTACGTAACAATGTAACATGCGTGCAAGCGCAGATGTGCACCGGAAGTAACGACACCGCGTCGTCATTCTCATCAAGCTTGGGTCTCGCGGTACCGACCAATCTTTGCTGTCACCATTGGGTGTTTCGAGATGAGACTGGTTGAATACTGACGAAACACAAATGCAAGCCTAGCACTGAGGCGGCAGATCCTGCTCAAATCAAGCTACCTGATGGGCGGTGATCTCAGAGAGCGCGATTAAGTCGTCAGTCGTCCAGCTATGTCGAAATGTACTTTGAAGCCGTGCGCAATGTGTGCGAATCTCTGTGTGCGCGCGCGGGTGTGTGTGTGTGTGTGTGTCCAAGCATTTCTTCAATCGATGAGGCCTTGGCACCCTGTTGGTACTTGTGTTCTCTGACCCTATGGTGGATGTGCTTGCGGAGATTGGGTCGGCCTGGCTAGCCTTGTGAATGTGTGCCGCACTAAGCTCGATCGTAATGTGATGGCAAGGAGGCAGAGTGGCATCCCGTCCTTTTATATATCCTTCGCCACTGCCTCAGAGAACGAAAAGAGCGTTTCATGGGAATTTGTGACATTTTGTGATCCGGTTTGAAGAGTGGCACAGGTGCTGGCGCCGATGGCTTCGAACTCGTCAGAGTTGGTGGCAGCGTGCGCTTTTCTCTGCTGGGCCGCAGCACTTTCAGCGAACTGCTTTCTTGGCTGCTACAAAGCGGCGTGACCAGAACCCGATGCTGGGCGCAGAGGGGCAGAGGAATGAACATGTGGACTCGGATTGTTGGGTTTAGAAGAAACCGGCCCAGCTAAACGTGCCTGGCCTTGAAAGCAAGAACTTCACCTACCTTCCCCGAGGTGCCTGAGTCTCCAAAGTCCGCACAGTTTCCTCTTCAGCGAATGCGGCCTCTGTCTAATCATCTAATCAACGCGCAATTTTACACCAACACGTGCTGAATCGGTTGTTCGTCGGATGGTCTTGATTGTCCACTTCACGGCAGTTGTCAACTGTCCATTATTGAACTTCGTGAAAGCGCCAGGATCCTTAGATGACCTGCAGTCTCAAGGCTGCGTGCTCGTTGCATCAGGTACAACTACGCATCCCGCAAGACTTCCAAGACCATTACGATTGCCTTGAACACGCTGGAGGCTGGCTTGACACTTTCACTTTACATTATTTTGAAGGAGCAGCTTTGTGAGCAAGAATGCAGGGGGCGGCTTGCATGAACAATACCTTCTGCCTGGGGATCTTCATGGCACTGGTATACTTCCAGGCTGATGGGCAGTAAAGACGAAAGCCGCCAATCCTTTCTGGGGAGGGAAGAAGTCCGTCGCGCAGGGATTGGCTTGGAAGTTTACCGCAGAGACCATCACGATCCTTGTTGTGGAGTCTGAGCCTCGGGCTGCCCTGCTCTGCCCAAAAACCGGCCATGAAACGGGCTCAGTGCAAAGATGTTGTAGTAAGACTTCTGAGACTTGAAGCTTGGGGATCGGGAATGCTCGCGCTCTACAACATGTGACTCCGCGGCGCCGCGAAAGTCCCAACGGAGGAGGAGCGTCCCATCCTTCGCGGGCCCTTCGTTGATTCGCGATGCCGAGAGGACGGAGATGGAAGCGCCTTCGCTCGTTTGCACTTCCCGACGCATGCAGCCCCTTCCCACTTGTACTTGTCTTGTGTGCATGCGAAGTCGAGCCGTGCACAGACTCTACATTCGGGTGTAGTGTAGTAACCATAGGTCCGGCAATGACGATCCCGAAAGGAGGAATCGCAAAGCAATGCCGAAGCCTTCCCGCTGAGCTTAGCAGCCTGTGTACTGGCTCAACCCGCTTCGCAGGCTTTAAGTACAGATACACCTCTGCATTAGAGACGACCTGCATCAGTCAAACGATAGGAAGAGGAGCCTGGATGGTGAAGCGATCGTTGCCTGCTGCAGGTTCGCTGTGGCGTTTCTTGTGCTGCTTAGCCCTCATCAGCGCGTATTTGATGTTCTGCCCTCAGCTGGAACAAAAGCTGCAGAGTCGAGGGATCCGGGCCGCCGGCCGCGAACCCCTTGAATCTTAGGCATTCATCATCTTATGCTTATTCCCCGGAGCGTTGGCAGGGCTCCCGGAGTTCACCTTCGAGCAACTCCTGCTTGTAAGTTCCATGCTCTTGATATCCCTTGACTCTTGACCAGTAGACTTTCATGCTTCTATTTCTACTTATTGTCTCTCATCTTCATATCTCCGGTCAGTGTGCAAAGCGGACTGGGCAGGCTTTAGTTTACGTCCTCGAGAACTATGTCGGACTGGACTGAGTCAGAGACCCTGGTAGTGCGACTCCCAGATGCAGACCGCAAGGACAGACTGAGTGCTTGCTTTCTGCGGGCATGGCAAGCGTCTTGCGGCCAGCGTCCATGTGAAGTAGCAAGGTCATGAATCTCGCTGGCGAGTCATGAAGAGTACGCTGTTGAATCAGGTGGGCCTTCGCTTATATGGCCAATGACACGTGTTGCACTGCAAGCTGAGACGAAAGCAGGCATGCTGCTACTTGTACTAGCTGCTAGTCATACGTCATGCTACTTACTGATGGCTATCACCTTGCAGCTTTCTGCTTTGCAAAGATATCATAGACACGTGTGGTGCTTTTCACCACGCGTGCCTCTGTACGGCTGAGCTGCTCCTCAGCCAGTCGTACGGAGCACCCTGTACAAAATGGAAGATCAAGGAAAGAAGCATGCACTGTGAGTCTCACAATTCAGTGAAAAAGTCTCGACCCGTGTCGGCTTCAGCACCAAACTCGATATCCATCCAGCTTTTCAACACGCAAAGGGCACAGAGGAACTTGCAATGTTCATGTTCTAATGCTCATATTGACAAGTAAGTCGGGATAACTCGGGTTGGATTATCCAAGTATCTGGTTGGCACAATTCAATTCGGCTCATGGACTTCTTGGAAGACTGCAATCTGCCAAGGCGTCGTCGGATGGGGTTGTAATGAAGAAATACACGTTCAGCGCTTTCTGCGTTGATTTGCTTCTTCTGTCCCATTCTTAAGAAAGAATACCCGACATCTTCAAGAATGCCAAGCTGAAGAACAGCAACAAGTCGGAACGTGCCCAGGCCACAGTTGGCCATCCACAGATTAATCGAAAGATGACCAGTGAGCTTGCAATACTCAATTTAGAGTCTATTTAGACTCTCGACATCTCTCGACGTTTCATCCCCATGTTCCAGCACCGACCATCATGTCCAAGCGGCCCTGCATTGGGTTAATTCGTAAGTCCTTGGGGGGGTCATTGATCAAACTCGGTTGCGCACGCCCTCCTGCTTCAGGTGAGTGATCTTATGACACCAACAATCTAATCGCCGCTACTTGTTCCGGGGATGTAGATCGGCGAACGAACCCTGCGCAGGGGTAGACGGGACTGTATCCCTGTGTTTGCCCCTTGCCGAAGCAGGCTCGAGGCGTCATGAAAAGAGTCCGGCGCAAGCAATGCCCGTCTCCGCGGACCGGCTCATCACTCTACTGACCCAGCTGACAGCCTGCATGCCCTTCGGCGTGGCATCACCAACGAACGAAAGCGTGCCTGCACCTCGACTGGCTGGATTCGCAGTCACCGGATATTTGCCCTCGGGTGAGTCACGACAGATGGTGCTTGATCCACCCTTCCCAGCTGCGGATCGTTTTGACTTCAAGTGCTATCTCGACAATGCCATGGCTGAATTCGACCTGCTATTGCAACCTGAACTCTATGCAGTGCTCTCCGAGCTGTTTGAAGATGGTTCCGAAGTGACCAGCCACTCCCATCTAAGCAGAGTTGCAGTCGCTGAGGGGCAGGAGAAGGTCTTCTCCATCAGTCTGTCCAGCATGCATAGCAGAGAGGTGTCCCAGTACACCTTGCGAGTGAAGCGTCGACTTGGCTTCTCCACAGAGCTTGAAAATCTCGATTTGAAGACCGGAAGGATACAAGAGCGCTTCCATCAGCAGACCACGAACACAGTGTATCATGCGTCTCAAAACTTCACAGAGGATTTCGCACATGTCGAGTGCACCAAGCTGGATAGTGGACAGAACATAAGCTGCGAAATAGACGCAGGAGAAACGTATGGAGCTTCGAATCCCTCCGATGCGGACTTGCTGCTCTTCCCCGAGAGGTATACACCCGCCTTGGAGAAAAGCTTCGGAATGTCAGTCACAAGCACAGACCGGGTTGTTGGTTGCACGGCTCCGGTTGACTCGTGGCGACAAGTTACTATCAACATAAGCATTGCGTCGGCTGACAGAACGCAAACGAAGCATTTGAGGCTCATCATTAAGCGAGACGGCTGCAAAGATGGTACTTTTTTCCACAACGGAAGATGTGCTCGGCATTGTCCAACCTTTTTCTACCAGCAGGAGTTCAATCGAAGATGTGGAGCTTGTGGAAGCAACTGTGAGTTGTGCGAGCATTATGCAAAATGTACACGATGCCAGTTGGATACACGCTGGCGCACTTACAAGCTTGCAGAAGGAGGGGATTGTACTGCGGTGCCAATACACATCAACAGGATCTACTACTTTGCCACCTGGTACTTGGGCTGCTTGGTTCAAGCCAAGGTAATCTTATAGTCAAGGTGTCTGCAGCCGTCTGGAGACTCCCATAGCTGCCATAGCTCTGTTAGCTTTCTGCAAGTCCCTTTCAGCCAATGTTTGAGGCCTCAGCTGCACTGTCCTCATGGCGTTGTACATCACAATCTGCGTCTTTCGTTGCCTGCTTTTCAGGAATGACAAGGCAAGGACAGAGCTAAATGGGATTCTCGCATTCAAACTTGCACGAAGCTGCACAAGCGTATCTGGGTAAGCTGCTGTGGTCCGAATCTCGTCAAGCGCCCTGTTGGCCTTGACGTAGGCAGCACTGCAGCACCAAGCATCGTCTGCGGTGCAGGACATCGACCACTTGACGGAGGAGGAGACGGTTCCCCTCACGATGCGCGAAGTTAGCAGCACATAGCAGGATCGCCGCGGACAGCGAGACTGATCACAGGGTAAGAGAGGCTATCCACCTCAGGAAGACGCAGGAGTGTGCTGGGATGCATCTAGCTCCGCTACGTGAGTGGCAAAGCGGCATCTGGAAGGGTGGACGATGAGCACACGGACATGTACTTACTGGGTTGCTTGGTCACCGAGGAAGATGGATGCGTGAACCCGGCTGCCCCTTCGACCGATGTATAGCAACAGCAAGAAGATCACTGTAGGCAGCATGCAGGGCGACGTTGCCCGAAGGCTCAGGACCCGCATCAGAACTCGGATTAAGCGAAGACGGCATGTCAGCTTGGGAGCGAAATGTAGCGACTGGAGATGCCAGGGACCTAGAAAAGAGAGGAAATATTGAATTCTTGATGCTGGCGGCAGCTTCCTCACATGTGGCTCAGGGTACCGTGCACAAGATGTCGAAACTCGTATCTGAGATAATTTCGAAAGTGCCATGCCTCCATTTAATATCATTGTATAGTCGTGCGCAAACTCTCCGCTGTGCTTTCACATGCCACAGAACAAGCCCACAGCTCCGAGTCGTTGTGACCTAAGCGTAGGTTCTGGATGTTCTCCTTGCGCCATGGCAACATTGGCATGAATCTTGCGCCAGGCCGCGAAATTGCATCGCAAGTTGCACCAACGAAAACGCGCATGCTGGGCAACAATGGCAGATGGCGTCCTTCTCGTCGAATGTTCCCTCGCGCCATGCGCAGTGCCCCTGAGCTTGTCCCCATGGCAACTCCGACAGTCATGTTTCAGTACCGTGAACCCACAAACGTCGGGAGAGTGTCGTAGCACCACGCAAAGTCCTGCTCCATGAAAACACGCATGGAGCTGACCGGATTTCATCGCTGCCTGCTTGATGCTTGTTCTTTCCGTTTCTGAACATCGCCAGGTACGGAGAGCACTGGGGCGAGGGTGCAGCGCGTTGCTTCAGCCTAGAAGCCGACATCCTTGACGAGGACAGGTGGTCGGAATGGGCAGTCGCAGCAGACCAAGCCTTCTCTTGGGATTCTTTTTGCTTAATGCGTTCGCCTTGTTCGGAGTTCAGAGGACCATGCGGTGCGCCTCATGCCAGTTCCGGACAGTTTCGTCGGGCCTTCAGTCACTTTGCCTTGCTCCTTCGAGGGATTCTTGAGCCGGTGACTGCACAGGTCTGTCCGATCTCAGCAGCGATCATGGCCGCGCCGCTCTGTTTTTTGTGCGTAGAATCACGGTGTAGACGTTAGAGCCAGGGCAAGGCCGAACCATCAGCAACTGTCTGTGCTGCTGCAGCGCTGCAGCCCGTTTCAAAGGTGGACCCTGTTGCGACAGTGGACGGCTCCGTCTACGAAAGGAACTACATCGAAAGGCCGAAAGTCGTGAGTGCAGACATACACGATATCCATTACACATACATGGAGTTAGCAGAGGCCCTACGTCTACATACATGTGCATCTAGCTACGCAAAAAAGTATCGAACTTGGAATGCCGATAACATGAACATGAGATTTTCCAGTGTGCCTGCATCTCTGCATGCATGTGTGCGATCGCAGTCACCAGCCCTCCCGCCCTCCTCCCGCTCGCCCACCTACCCAGGTAGACACTGACACCGAGTAACTGAGAGTGCCTGACCCCGACTGGAAGGTGGTTCCGGGAAAAGCGGCAGGAGGGAAATCGCATCACATCGCCAATCACAGGGCCTCACGCCGAGTGTGGAGTTTTCCTCATTCTTTGCACCCAGACATGCGATGACGACTCTGGCCGAGGCTAGAGCTGCCTTCGGCTACCTTGATGCCTCTAGTGGCGCTGCAGCGTGCCATCGAAGCAGCTTGGAGTGGACAAGCCTTCTTGACGTCTGAGTGCAGTTTGGCCCACCACGATGTGCCTGGAATAATAAAGGCATACTTGGCCCATCGGCCTGAGCTGAAGCGGGAACAAATGGCAGGCCCTCTCCTGCCATGTCTAAAAGCACACGGTTTCCGATGCAATGAGTCAGAGTGGCTGGCTGCAATCACACAAGTCGTTGTGGAGCACATGTGGACATGCAGTATCGGCTTGTGATGCAGGTCGTTCGTTTGAGGAAGCGGCCCAAATCCTGCAGACTGACCTCTTCGAAAAGCAGGTGCTGCAGCCATGCCAAGCTCGTGCTGTCAGAACGCGACCTGGCCTGGGCAAGGCCGCTCACGCTAGCACGCAAGACAAGCTGAAGAGGCCAGGATCTCGGTCTAATAATGCCTGCCTTGCATATAAAGTCGGTGTATCAAGATTCGACAGATGGACTTGAGGTTGAAGCAGGCCAACAAGGCTCTTCTGCGTGCCTTGCACGAGGCAGAGGAGCGCATCTTGCCGGGCCCTCGAGTCCTTGCGGAATCTTGATGTTAAAGATTTCGTGCATGTTCGTGCAGTCAAGCAGGCGGAGTCTTGGGTACATCACAAGTGAACAAGACTTCATGGTGTACTGTAGTCAGGGCTTTCGATACCTAAGTAAAAACAAACGTAGGCAGCGGAATGGTCCTGATATGTTGACGACGTGGAATCGTGCTCGGCATGGTTGTTATGGTTCCTTGTAGCAGTCATGGTTTTGAGCGTGGTATTTGTAATGCACCCACTTTTTGGAAATCCCGCTGCATTTTGTTTTGATCCTTCTATACCCTGCGGGTGAGATTCACTCTTTTCAGACCCTTCTGCGCATACCTTCCTGTCCCCGCACACATTCGAACCCTCATCGTGCTGCTGTAACTGCCCGACCTTTTTCCAGCTCCCTCACACTATTTCCGACCCACCAAGATGCCTTTATTGCTCGCCCCTCCCCGCCCCACATGTATGATTTCAGCAATATGAAGGACATTTTCGAGTGAACCATTTTTGTTGAGAGGTGTTCGAGCCTTTCGTGGATGTGCCGGTTGCGGTTGTCGTGGCCAGACCACAAGTTTGTGGAAGGTTTGAGTAGGCGTATAGCAGTTTTGCACCTTCGCCTTTTCATCTTTCACTGCACAGCTGCAGGCTCTTACAACCGGCCATGGAAGGACCTCCAAGGAGCATGAAACGGAAACAAAGCAATTCTGTCAACGGTCTGGGTCTCCAGCAGCACACAGCAGCACACCGAAAGTAAAGTCTTTAAGGTTCTTGCTTGGAGTTCCTGCTTGGGACCTAGACTGATCAAAGGAGTTTGGCTTCTGCGAGGTCCTTGCGTGACCGGTTTGAGCTGTTTTGCACGTGTTCGCGTAACACCTAGGAGAACAGAATCCGTCAAGTCCATGAAAGGCACCACCCCTCAAGCTTGCGAATGTTCTCAAAATCTCAAACCCCAGAATCAAGTCATTTTAACTGTAAGAAACTCAAGACTGCTTATACGGGGTTACTTTGGCTCTTTCAGAATTTAACGATGTTAGTCGCAGAGGGCATGCAAGTCTTCACTCGCTTTACATCGGGGGATGGGCCGAGCCTCCCCTCACCTGCCCCAACCCTGCGCGGAGGCCTGGCCTAGCCTAGTGCACTGATGCAGAAGTGCATATGCAAGTTAGCAGGAAAGTTCAGGGGTGCCTGGTTGCAGTTCCCTCCACTTCTCTTGCTAACCAAGCGAAGCTTTGTCTCACATTGCCTCCCTTAGGTGCTGCTGCCAGCCCAGGCATGCAACACCATTTTACTGCCCCTTGAAGCTTAAGACCATTGCTGCTCCGAAAGCTACGAGCCAAGAGCATGCGTGCAGCAAGGAGATGTCTTCATTGCCAAGCCCAAGCTACGAACAGTCATTGCAATTTGTTTGTAGTTTTCGTAGTGGTGCAGTAAAGATGTCGGCCCGCGTTGAGGACAGCTTTAGGACTGTCAGGCTCTGTTTGCGCACTTTCTACTCCAATTGTTGAACTTCTCCGAACCCACACCCTCGGCAGAAGGCAAGCCAGTCCGAGCCAAGCCGAGCCTGGCAGGGCATGGAAAGCATTGCATGGTTGCAAAGAAATCTCAGTTGGGGACAAGGAGCAGGGAAGATGGTCGTCAAAACTACCCCGGATCAAGGAGTCTCGGAGGTTCGAAAAAGAGGTCCGAGGCGTACAAAAATATAGATTCACAGGCGGTGTCAACAAAAATCTATCGCCTATTCGTGCAATCGTAGTATTGGATGTAGTACGGTATGCTCCGCACGAGGCATTTGGAAAGCCAATGCACCGGCCAAACCTCTTCTCCGTTCAAAGTGGCAGCCGAGGCGGAAGCGCACGAAAACGCCCGACATGGTAGAAGTCTTCTCGCTTGATCCTGGCCTCAGTGATAGATGCAGGCATCCGCGACCGCAGCCACGCGCGCGTCCAAGCCAGCCCCTCCAATGCGGAGACCGCCAGGACCCATCAAGCTCCGAACACAGGCTTTGCACCCAGCACTTCACTGCAGCCAGGACTCGCCAAAGACGGTGCGGCTAGCTCAGGCATGGACCTGTTCGAATATGTCGCCGATGGGAGCAGAAGAAGCTCCATGTGGGTCTGCAGGTGACGAAGGCGAGACTTTGCCGGACATGCCAACGGCTTCGCAAGGCAGAGTGCTCGTGCGGTGGCCAGGACTCCCGTGCCAAAATATGAAGTAGGGGACTGATGCAATAAGTTTGGATTCTATTGCCATCTCGTTTGTTTCAAGTGCCCTGTGAGAGGACACTCCACGTTGGTCTTGCTCGGAGGCATCGCAGCACTCGGACAAGCACTTCTGTGGTTGGAAGTTTGACGAACTTTCCAGGTGTCCTCCTTGCGCTGCTCTGTGTGGTGGCTGTGGTGGCGATGCCCAGAGTGCCTGCGACCTGGAACAGCGTCTGCGGCACGCGACCACTCAAACGTTTGCATTTGGCGAGTCCTTATGTGTGACAGAGGTCTGCCCCCGCCGTGCACTGAGCATTCGCTACTGTTGGGGGAATCTCGCTGACGGCAATTTGCCTCTCAGGCTTCGCAGCCACTGCCGCTCGTTCTCGGGTCGGCAGCTCAAACAAGCAGCAGCGAGGCGAGCACATTAGCTGGAGCGCTCAGGGCGCCAGGGCTCAGCCACGAGCCGCAGAGGTACCTCGACTCTGAGCCAACCTGGACCGATTCTGTCTTTGACGGGTTGGGCAGGCAGCAGACGGATGTGAATCCTGCTCTTGCAATGCAGTTTGCCACCCAGCTTTCTTGGATTCCGGGTCTTCCAACCTCACGGTTTTGGGTTTGCGCTTGTGGCAGGTTGGAGCAGCTGCAGGGTGGCAGCACTGAGGAGAAGCAAAAGGCTGTTTTCATGCCACCTGCTCAGAGTATGGAAAATGCAAACAAGCATGCAGGGGCTCGGAGAAGCAAGGAGCTGAGGATGTGCAAAAGCAAAACTCCTACAACATGAAGAAGCGACAGCTTTCAACAAATGTGCCTACCGTGAGGTATGGCAGGCGCTGGCAGATAATTGAATGAGTAACTGAGCAACACAGAGTCAGGCTTTGCAGCAGCAGATGCCGAACTCGGTTGGTAGCATTCGCACACGACGACGATCCGGTCCAGAATGGGCAGCATCCAGAGACAGTCTCCACTACGTAATCTGTCTAAGGCCCTAAGGTGGGCGTGCAGCATCAATAAGACCCTAGAGTTGTCTCGGGTAAGCATCTTGAGGTTGCGAATATTCGCGGCAGAGCATGCAGAGAATCAGGCGTCCTGCGCAAAGAGATTGTTTCAGGCTGTGACAGCAGAGCAGTGCATTCAGCCCTGCGTAGGCTGCAGTGGTTCATTCCGGTGGCTTGCTGCCTCTCGTGGGGCTCCTGCAGCACGACGCGCATGAAGCCGAGACTTCGAACAACACAGTCGCCAGTTGACTTAGGGATGTCCTTTCAGGTCCGGACTGCGAGAAGAAGCAGCTCGTGCTCTGTGGAATCTCGCCCGAAACAACAAGGCCCGGCCCAGAGCGCAGAGCCCAGAGCCAGAGCGAAGGTGTCCTAAAGTGACAGGAAATCAATGCCGCGAACCAGGCCAGGCCATCAACTTTCAAGCATCCGGGTCCCACTGTGAGCCGTTTGGACTGGGGAGAGAACCTTTCATCGAGAGGTAGCCATCAGCCGCGCCGGTGCTATCCCGCCGCTCGTGCGATTGCTGGACGATGACGAGCAGAGGGCCAGACTCTAAAAAGAAATCGAATCAACTTGGACCTAAGGGATATTCGTTGTTTATGCTCAGATACGTGTGGTCGCTGCAGCCGTTCTGCCACGATCCCAACTCGGCGTGTCAGATCTTGGGGGCGACTGCATGCCAATGGCTCGAAGGAATGATTTGGCTGCAGACAACTCTGAGAACCAAGTCGCAATTGCCCAGGGAGGCCTCGGGGCAGGTTTGAAGCAGGGAACCTTTAGAGTGGATGCACACAAGGCATTTTACCGGTGCGTGGATTGTCACTTGCCATCGTCATTCCTTTGAACTACGAAGGGGAAGCGCGACCTCTCATGTCGATTCTTTGTGATTTGTTGCTGCAGAGTTTTGCATGTTCTGCGCTGGTAGACATCTTGTCGCAGCGGTGTTCACGCTCGTTGCCTGCGATTGCAGGTGCAATCGGTCCTCTGGTGCGAATACTCAAGCGTGATGAGGCCGGCTGCATAGCAGATTGAAGTCTTGAGAGGCTTCCTTGGTTTTTGTTTGGCCAAGACTAAACTGAGGTTAGGCTGAATCTGATTTTTCTGGGTCGCAGGCCCCTGCGCTTGTCATGGCAGCGAGCCTTCTCAAGAACTTGGCGGCTTCAACAGCTGGCGACTCCCAGGTTCGTGCCTTATCGGACTGGCTGTCTGTGAGATTCCACGAATCGACTGATTCGGTGGCGCATCAGGTGACTGCCGCATTGATGTCTGCGGTACCGCCTCTGGCTTTCGCCTCGGACAGCCATGACATGTCGCAGCACCAAGGGAACTCAATTCCCTTCTTATTCTTACGCAAGGTGGCACTTCTGCGGGCCGACACCCTACTGGCCCAAGAGCAGGAGGGGATGCACTTTGACGGCCCGTGTCACCTCACGTTCCCACTTGAACCAGGCGTCCTCTACACTGGGGGCGCTTGCAGCACATAGCCGCGGGATTCAGGCGGACCTGGATGTTTGCATGTATGTTGGCCGTGGCGCATCCAGCAGGCTGCCATCGCCCGAGAAGGGGCGGTGCCTCCTTTGGTCGAACGGCTGCATGGAGACATGATGAAGGCAGGCAGCAACCTAGTACGTAGACTGGCCGACCTTGCTCTGCTTCAGCGCAAGGGCACTGCTATCGTGGCACTGCGAAATCTGGCTGCTCAGCATGCTGAGAACCAAGCTAGCATTGCCAAGGCCAGCATAATCTTTAAGAATTTGCTACTGCAAAGGGAATGCATGCAGTCGACATCTGTCCTCAGGCAGGGGCAATCGTGCCGCTGGTCAAGCTTCTCGAAGATGGCATGCGGGCACTCCGAGTGTAAGATCTGGTGTGAGCAGGTCTCTGACGGCACGCCGAACGGAATCTGCCGGGACTGAGGCCCGCTGTGCGCGAGGAGGCTGCGCAAGCCCTTTGGAACCTCGCACAAGTTCGGGCCCTAAAGCCTTCTGAGCAGACCCGACGAACCTAGCTTCGCGCAGTCGAATCTTAGTTTCTTTGCGGTGGCTCCTGCTTGATTGTTGCCCTGCAATGCCGCAAAGAAGCAACGAAGGACAACGTGGAGAATCAGTTGGGAATCGTGCGCGTGTCAGCCTTACACTACCGTCGCTGCATAACTCCAATCAGCCTTGAGAAGAAGTCCTCTCTCCTTGGTCACCGAGCCAGGCTGGAGGTTCTGCACCCATGGTTGCACTCCTCAAGGGAGACACGCAGGAGCAGGCGCCGCCTGACGAGAACCTTGTGAGTGCTGGGCTGAGTGTCTCGTCGTATGAAGGCCACCCTCACCTTGCTGGGCCTGTCTGACATGGCCGGCACGGGGTAAGGGTACATCTACGACAGAAGTGCGCATTCATAGTCAGGCCAAGAATGCATTTCACTGATCCAGCATCAGACGTCGTGCGCTGTAGGTCTAGGTGCGTAGGTGCTTGCAATGTTCGCACCAAAGCGTGTGGTGCCAATTCGCAAGCCTGGAGAAAGCAATGGAAGTCATCTGCCAGCCTCAGGCCCGTCTCCGTGGTGCCATTCTGCCGCTTCTCTGCTTAGATTGTCTATTTCGGTTTTTCCACTGTCCTGTCTGCCTTCTGCCTGTGTTTGCCTGTCGTTTTCTGCTTGCTCTTGCCTTTGCTGTTCTGCTTGTCCGCTGTTCTGCTTCTTTGTTTTTCCGCTTCTTGGATTGCAAAATGCGGGGGCAGGTTCCAGAAATGGGATAAGACTAATGAGGGGACGTGTTTGAGATACGGAATGACTAAAATTATGGGATCAACCTGGATCGCCAAACGAGGGGGCGGGCTTAAGAGTTATATGCAGTTGGGATCAACCGGGATCGCCTCATGCGTGTTTAGGAGATGTCATGAATCGGGGGAACCGCAAAACGAGGGGCGGGCTTAAGAAATCGGATTATCCTGGATTGCCTAACTAAGGTGTATGTGTGTGTGTGTTTAGTCTTAGATATGGGATGAATCGGTATCGCTAAAGGAAGAAACGAGATTCAGATATAAGATGACTACTTATTATAAAATGAGGGGGCGCTTTTTAAATAAGATAAATTTAGGATTGCTAAATTAGCTGGCTTATGTAAGGTACGGGATTCAATTGGATCGGTAAGGAGGGGTAAATTTAAGATTGATTCGAGATCATTCAAAGAAGGGATCGCCTTGTCCTTTATTTGTCATGACTGAAGAACCTTTGAATTGGGTATATGAAATTCTGCATGATTTTGTGAGTGCGAGCCTATTTTTTTGGAATTGGAATGGCATGATAGGGACGGGAGGGCGGGTTGGAAGAGACGAATCGGGATTATGCAAATTTCTAATTTTATTGGGTAGAAAAAGAAAGATAAATTGCATTTTATTAAGACAGATATATTTTATTATAAGCCGAATAATATTTCGAATAATTATTCGTTTCTAAATTTTAGGTTTTTTGAAAGAAAGGAAGAATTTCGTGGAGAATTTGGAAGATTATATTAATTTCTAATATAGGTAAAATTTATTCGAAATTTAAATTTATATAATTTGCTTAAAATATATATAATTTGATTTTTCATTTTATTTTCTGATTTTTTTCTTTAAAAATAAAAAACATAAATTAATTATTAAATACTTGATTGGTTGAATTTATTTTGGTGATGATATGTTTTAATTCGTTATTTATAGAGATATTTTATATTGATTTTAAATTTTTTCGATTAAGAGTTTTATAAAATTTCTATGGAAAAATATACAAAAGATTTTAATGAAATTTATTTTTTTTTTGAAAAAA